AAAAGAGCAGGTGCAGCCTCTCTATTACCTGAATGATACAATTGTCGGAATGAGAAGGTGGGGGGCAGAACCAGTCGCAAGGAGGGGTGAACTTAGGTACGAAGTACATGTCAGGCATTGCCAGGCAGGCCAGGCAAAACCCGTTCCTTCGTACCATACGTGAAGGCGGTGATCAATGGCATCAAATTGGGGTGTAAAATAGAATTGATCCTGGAGAAGCTCTACGTAGTATGTTCTTCGGGATTCCCGTCTGGTCGTTTACCTCGCACAGCTTTCTCAGGCGCTCGAATCCATTGGCATACCCTAAAGTATTGATGTTATATTGTCGATGCATCGTTAATGGATAGCCCTGACGGTGTCCGCTGTTCGGATAGATTCGTCGATCCCTTTTCCGCCCACCGAGAATAACCAGCCTCAGAAGTTGTACCATCCAAACTGCAGGAGGGTAACCTTGCGTACCTGAGCGGCGCGGGACAATACGACCAAGCCTAGTGAGCCACTTGAAGTTTTTACCCGAGAGCTGCTAGAGCTATTTTGAATCATTTGGGTAGCAGCGAACCGAGCTTAACGAGTCACGAAAAAGTCGGGAACTGAACTCCTACCACAAAGGAGCTTCAAAGGAAGGCAAAGTGTGGTAGGAGACGATATTATTTCGGGTCTGAAACATAGTTGATGTTCATGTGAGCGTTGAGTTAGCTTGACAGGATTGCAGCTTGCAGCATCTGGGGGAGGCATTTTCAAGACTCGCAGCGGGAGGTGAATTTCTCGGAAGCAAGCTTGGGCCTGGAGGTCTCGACCTTGGGCTCGGGCCAGCGCAGAGGCATCGCGGAGGCTGGGCGAGATCTCGACCAGCATCGTTGAGAGATAAATGCAAACAAGACGAAGCACAGATATCCCGCTGGTTTGAGCAAGAAAAAAAACTAGCCAACTGCAAAGGAAAAATTCATCGTTGCCCCTGAGCAAGTATCGCGAATGCGCACTAAGAGTTCTCATTACCTAACTTGAGCCACCCCTACATGCACGATACAGACATGAGAGGAAGAAAAAACCCGCTACCGCGCTTCTGACCTCCTTATTATCGTGTTGATGACTTTTCTCCCCTCATGATCCTAGTACCAATATCAGATATGCATCCCCAGAAGGAGATGCAGACGCCAAGTCCGGGGAACAGTGAGCGGAGCTTGATTGTTGGGAGACGTGCATCTAGATCCCAACGCCAAACCAACCACAGGACTCGACTGACCAAATGGCCTGTGTGCGAGCTAGTCTGGCGTCATACAAACACCCCATGCGATCAAGTTTTGTGGTGGTGTTAACGAGGATCAAGAGACAGACTCTCCCAAGGGATTGGCTCTCCCTTCCGCAGGGCTACCAGTACACGATAATATCTGCGTTATTATTTTCTCCTCGCTTGACCACCGTGCCGCGTTCAGCTGAGCTGCGGGCGTGCGAGTACGAAGCACGACAGCAATCCACTCACGAAACGCCGTGGTGGTCTCGGTGTTAAGATTTGGACAGGCATGCCCAGGGTTCGAATGCGGGTGGTCAGGCAGACCAGCTTCATGCACGAAGTACGAAAGAATACGAAATAAGTGGTGATGGCAGAGCCTCGTCTGTCTCGACGAATTGAGCTGGCGCGATGTCATCTCGTACTCCAAGCTTGCATCATGTTTTAGCCTTCAGTCTTTCAGTTGGAATAGACACGTGAAATCCGGCTCAGTGCCACGCTCCGTTAAAAGAATGCGCCTAATGAGTTTCGTTGAAGTTTAGTTTATAGATCTTTCCAGCCTCGAGGGTTCATAGTCATATGCCATGATGTTGAAACCCTGGGTGGAAGGGCAAAAGGTTTTGGTGGCTAGCGTGAGTTTGTCCGCATCCTCAGACCAACGAAAAGGGAGGCTTGAAGAAGCTAAGCCGACAGGCCATCACCTTGCAGGAGGTACATAATAGCGATGTTGATGATGCAGCCTCTGGGCTGTGCTTCCTGGTTGAATTTTCGTCTAAGTCGCGAGGGGGCAGAAAAATGCTGGCTTGGAGGCGTTAATATCCGCCAAGGAGCAAGACGGCGGGACACTTTGGGTATTGCTTGGCAGCGGTGAAGGGAGGAGAAAGCTGCGAATGATGCGCGCCGCATACCTAGCTTCACACCTTGCGTCTTCCTCCTTTTCCCGCAAGTGCTTGTCTTACAATTTCCTTTTTCTTGCGGCGGGCGCAAATCTCCAATTCTGAAGTTGCCTTCAATTCCTGTACCCCGCCTACGAAAGTGGTTTATGAAACAAACAAATTTGACTTCAGCCACATATCGAGATATCACGATACAGGCAGATGCCCGGTTCCATAGTTGTAAGCCAATAAACTGTTACCCAAAGGTGGATCAGGACGTTGAAGGTCGTTGACCGAAAAGCAAAATGTACTTCGGGTGTAAGAGTATCAAGAAGAGGCGGTTTTAACCAAAATTGAAGGCCGAACTATCCGCTCGCCTTCCTCCCCCGGCCACCCAGAAGCCGCGCACGCTAATGTGCCATGACTCTTTCCCCTGCACTCGGGGCTACGCTTACCATTGGAGGCTTAATCACCTGAGGGAGGGGGAGGAGATCTGGGGTCCTTGGAGTCGAATTAGCCAGGCCAAGTCTGTACATGAAAGCGAGGATGCAGGTGCTACGTGTCGGATCGTGTCGGATTAGACTGCGCTGGGCTCACTCAACGGTCTATGTCTCCTGCCTGCGATATGCAGGACCACCTGTCCTGGCTCAACGACGAGGGTGAATTGTTGGAGAAAAAAAAAATGAAGAAAGAAAAAAGGTCTGGACAAGAGCAGGGGTTGCGTTGTGGCTGTTGACTCACTTACCTGAAAGTCGAGGGTCGACTTGCAGATGTCAGATAATCGCAGCGTTATCCTTATCAGCTGTTGATGATGTCGATGTGGCTGAAGACCTTCTACCAAACATAGCGCCCGGCGATCTGCGCGCACTCCTACTTCGCCCTGATGGTGGTGATCGTAATAATTGCATCGTTGTGGTGGACCCATCGAGGCGCAACGTTGAGAATTAATAATTCTGTCGGATTTCAAAGCTGTCGGTCCTCGATAGTTCGGTCGCAGGAATAGGAGCAATTGATTCTTTGTATCCCTTTTCAGGCTGCCAGCTGAACCTCCCCAATCGGTAGTCTAATGCAGAGCCAGCGGTTCGTATCATTCGGAAATATTGTACACTACTCCATAAGGCTTCGTGCCGTCCAGTTGTTCATGTTATCTTGACCTATCGCACTTCTCGGCCGTTGCCATTGGAGAATATCAAGGCATTGAGCCTATATCAATGACAGAACAAACGTATTAGTGCCATGGAACAGCAATAGTTGGCGCCCTCACCAACCACCTCCGTGCCTCCCGATTTGCTTATTCTGAATCCCGCCCCCTGCCAGAAAACGTTGTCGAGTATGTTGTGGCTTTTAAGTACGAAGTACTGGTATTATCATTGAATTAAAGGTGGATGGTGTCAAGAATACAGGATCTCTTGGCAGAAACAAAGATAAAAAACAGATCTCAGTTACACTTGCGCCACCGTCCTGGTATACCTGATCTCCTCTGCGGGCTGATCATAGAGTTATCTCTTCTCCCTAGTCTGAGCCTCGAGGCCCCCCAATCTCGTGACAGCGGTGTGCCAGAGCAGCCGGCGATTGCCATTGCCAGGCCAGGGCAAAAATCAAACTCGAACGCTTTACCTTTTCTTAGCTTGCCCCTCCGTCCATCCCCGCCTCAAACTTTCATATTCAGGGTCTCATTAGCTTCTACTTGTTCCTACCCCCTTGTGTCGTACAAGCTTTGCCCCGCTGATCGAGCCTTGTAGGCTTGGACACCGCTCACGAGGACACGACGAGTCTTTCTGAGGCCAAGTCGGTGTCAGCAGGGATTCGGTAGGCTGCCATTCCAAAGTTTATGTGGCAGCAATCACTGATGAGTGTGGGGGAGAAAAACAGCACGGGTGGGCAATGAGGCATCAAGTCCATTCCATCTGCCATCCTCCTTAATTGCGTTCCTTTCCTCTGGTGGGTCATCATCTTTCGTACCAACTTCCGTCTTTGATCTGGGATTCGGGATTGTTGGTAAAACGCGAGAAGCGAAAATCCACGCTAGTCTAGGACTAGGGAAAGCAGCACTGGAAGAGAACGCACACCACTGCACGCTCTGGATATCGTACCACACAACCAGACCGCCTGGGAAGGTACGAAGTGTGGTGTATTAGTGTACTTGCAGTGCCTCGTCGTGTCGTCAGGATCTCGGAGCAGGAACACGGCGGGCAGGTACGCACTAAAAAAGATCGACATGACGCACCCCCCCTCGTCAGTCTATCTTTTGCAAGGCTTTTCTTAAGTTTCTTAAGTTTCCTAAGGCGACCCCTCTCTCCTGTCGTCACAATGCCCCCACTTTCAACACCCGACCACCCCTCCCTACACCACCAGACTAGAGAGGTACTTCGTACTTGGAACTTGGGCGACCTTGGGCTGTACCCCCTGACGACCTACCACTCACGTCAACCCTCCTTCTTTTCTGGCCCGTTTCTTCACCTTCGGGTTTGTTAGCAATCTCGTACCCGCTTCCCATCAATCGGTACTGCAGACGCCGGATGGGGACTTCCCAAGCTATCACCGGCGTCCGCGCGACCCACTTGGCTGCTAGTGGACAACAATTGAACAGGGATACGGTCGCTTGCCCGCCGTGCAGCACATCGAAATGTATCCCGTAGTATACATGTATCGATTATTTACAATAATACCGCCTTCCTCTGATCGGAGGCCGGAGAGGGTGTGTGGTGACTGGTCTGGGGGTTGTAAGCCAGATACTGGAAACAAATATGAAGGGTCGCCCTCCCTCCCTCTCTCCTTCTACTTCGATATGTTGCCCTTGGCTTCTGAATTGTTGTTTAGATTCTTTCTCCTCGACCTTATTTACATGAAATCACCACTTGGAAGATATCCTCATGAGCCCCATACATGTTGACAACATGTGGCCCCTAACATCTTTATCACGGATAAGCGGGCGGAGCGCAGTGACATTATTCGAGATTCGGTGAGTGTCCAACGCCGAACTATTTTTTTTTCTTTTTTTCTTCTACCTGCACCGCAATCTTTCCCCGATGCGCGCACAGCAACAACACCACGGTTTGCAAACTTTAGCATTGCTAACCACCTGAATCCTCTCAATCAACACAGACTCGACAACGATTTTATAGTATTTCGTGGCAATGGCCATGAGTCCGCAGGCCAGGCCTTGAAGGGACAGGTCGTGCTCTGCCTCTCGGCACCACTGAAACTGGACGAACTACATTTGCGCCTAACAGGAACATTGAGGTTATCGTAAGTCTCACAACATACCATTGCACTCCTTTCTCGCAACCTACACCCGTAGATGCTGAATCCGCCATGGTCGCGTGGCACATCGTTACCTCAAACCCGCCGTTTCCTCTCCGTCTGTGTGGCGCTGGGTACACTAACACGAGCTTCGAATAGATGGACGCAAGCTAAGATGACCGCAACGGGAATATCACAACAGAAAGTCGACAAGACGATTCCGATCCTACAACACCGATGGGCGCCGTTCGTCGGCGGCGCGGGGAAGAGCGTGACGTTGCAACCAGGCAATTACGAGTTCCCCTTCGAGTATATGCTAGCCGGAGACACATCGGAATCCCTAGAAGGCATCCCCGAAGCATCCATCTCATACAGGTTAAAAGCACGTATCGTGAGGCGCAGGCTCGCCAGCGACATCCACACTTACAAACACCTCCGCGTCATTCGGACCCTCGAACCATCCGCCCTCGAGTTCCTCCACGCTATGAGCGTGGAGAATATCTGGCCGAACAAGGTGGACTACTCACTCGTCATCCCGCAGAAGGCCGTCGTATTCGGTGGGTCAGTCGGCATCGAGATGCGATTCACTCCGCTACTCAAAGGTCTGGAAATGGGAGCAGTCACGGCGAAGTTGATGGAGTGCCGGGAATGTGTTGCCCAGGGGTCCAACCTTGCAAAACTTAAGGAATTCAAGACAGAGCGAGAGGTGGGCCACTGGAAGTTCGACGTTGTGACCGAGGACTGGCACGACACCATCGACGGCACCGGCCAGGAGGGATGGGTACTGGAGAAGAAGCTGGACCTGCCCAAGAAGCTACGGCAATGCGTGCAGGACATAAACGAACATGGCATCAAGATTCGGCATAAGCTGAGGTTGATAGTCTCACTCAAGAACCCAGATGGTCATGTCTCTGAGGTATGAATTTCATGACTCTCTGTGTCCTAGTTTACAGAGGCGCTTTTTACTAACAGCCTACGAATAGCTTCGCGCGACTCTACCCGTCGCGATTTTCATCTCCCCTAACATCCCGCTGGACGAGGAGGGTAACCTGGTCATGCAGTCACCCGACGAACCTGTGCCTCCGCTTAGTGACCCCGAGACAATTGCGCCCCCGGGCTATGGCGAGCATGTTCTGGATCGACTCTACGACGATGTCCTCTTCGGCGGCTTCCAGACGCCGGAGAACCAATCCGGCACCAACAGTCCTTATTACCACCCATCAGCAACCGCTTCTTCCGAAAGCCTAGCTCACGCAGCAGAGACCGGAGCCAGAACCAGAACTGACCCTGCCATTGTAGAGGCGTTGGCATCCCGCCTACAAACTATGTCCGCCAGTCGATCACGACGCAATTCGGTACATTCTATGAATAGCGGACCGCCTGACGAAATGTCCAGGCGGCCTAGCCACGAGAATTCTCCTTCTGGTCGGGTGTCTCCCGAGCACGCCGACGAAACTATCCTTGAAGAGCTCAACAAAGTACCGAGCTACGCAACGGCAGTTAGGACCCCTGCTAGGCCGCGATCGTATATCGGCCTACCTTCCATGTTACCAATGTATGAAGACATCGAACCCGATGTCCCAAGCTCCCCAGCTATCCCTGACGATAGTGCCACGAGATCTGAGCCGGAGAGGACGGAATCCACCGAATACGACTCGGGCGATATCCAGGAATCTTCTCCGGCTGAGCAACTCTCCGATTTCAGTTCCACGCGATCCGAGTCCCTGAGTAGTCAAGGGAGCCAGAGGTCTCAGAGGCCTCAGACCGCTATTGACGCTTCCCAGCCTCGAACCGTGCGCCCCCGGCCCCTCTCGGGCTTCTCAGACGCTCTCTTACAACGGCTGTCCAACCATGCCTATGGTCACTATGGACACGGCCTCGACCCTCGTCCCTATCAAGGAATGCGTCCCACTATGCAATGCATGTAGCTGCGTTGCATCACAGCCATACCGGCTTTTCATTACCTCACAATATCCGCCTTTCCCACTCCGACGCCTGGAATGGCTCCCTTTATCCCTAAGCTTTCTACAACCCCGACTTAGCTTTTTCTTTTGTCCCCATTTGCATATCAGGAGGTCATGGCATTTGCAGACCGGCGGCGTTTACAACTTTCTTTTTTTCTATGGAACATTTGTGGCATCACTCTAGACTTCTGCCTGTTTCATTTCTTCATTCCTTAGGAGTCTCCCAAGAGACCTAAGGTCTTCACGGAGGATGGACTTCCTCCCCCCAAACCTTCCTTTTCCACCTTTTTCTCCATTGCACATTGATGTATGAGGATAGACATTAGGCGTGTTGTTTACTTTTGGGTTTGAGTGATTGCGGGTTGGAAAATGCTTTGCTATATACCCCAGGATGACCAGAGCAGCAGGGCCGTTCCCAGGATGGATGGCGCCCGCGAAGGAGATGCTCTGTAGTAGTAGTAAGTAGTATACGTTGGATTCAATACGAATACCGAATGTAATACACTTAGAGAATAGGAACTGTACCTGATACTCGTTGATCGTCGAGGACATTCACAAAGTGAACTACTCCGTACTTGTAGATACATTTGATGCGACACGGCATGGGCCGGCTTAACATCCGTATGATGCAGGAGAGTCCTTTCCCCACGCCACGAGCTCACGGGGACCTCTTAGCCCTGCAGATCAATATCCAGGCTGGGACAATGTCATAAGGTGAAGAGGCATCGAGGTGCACCAGGGAGTACGGAAAAGTACTCTCAATGCCTTCATTTAACCCACTTCTCGAAAGAGCATTTGTAAGGAAGCGCTCTTTCTTGTACTCCCCAGTGCCTTCTTTCGGTTACCCTCGTGCAGTACAATTACGGGATCCGAGCAAGGGAGGGACATCAGCCGGATCGGCTACGTTTGTTTCTTTTGAGGGGGTTCAGAGTAGCAATGCATACGAAGTACACCACGCCCTTCCGAACACCCTTCCGGCTTCGCAATTGCAATACCTCGGAGAACTCGCGCTCGGGTTTACGGGCCCAAGTTCGCACCCAGAGTCCGGATCTGAGCGTTTCAGTGTATGTGATTGGAATTGGCTGGCGGTGATATGATTACTCATGGATGCTATTCCTCCAAGGCGTCCTTGCAAATGTTCCCCTCTCCCCTCTTCCCCTCTTTTTTTTCGTCTGGCGGCAGAAAGATCGTGAAGGAGGGGAAACACTGGCGGAAAATCATTTGCTTGGATGGTTATTCAAGGGTAGGAGCGATGGGTGTGACGCTAGACCAGTTGACGTCATGGAGAGCCGAGGATTTGCCATCTTTCTTCCGGCAGGTGTGGGTGGGTGGGTCGTACTTTGCAGGCGGGAGGGGAATCTCGAAGGGGGATGGAATTGTTTGAGCACAAAATCAGTTGGCTAAGAACGTGCTTGTGCTGTATCGTACGTCAATTCTGTTCAAGTGAGCTGTTGCTGTCAATTCACCTGCTGAAGCTCTGCGCTAATTCATGGTTGACAGCCATAAGTGCTTGACGGAGGCGGCGAATCGATCGACTTGTTCGATATCCGTGGTCGTTGGTGCCATTGGTGCCTCAGATGCCCAATTCGTTTCGTGGCAAATCGCAAAGTCATTTGGATCAATTATACCAACTCGTGCTTATCAAGTCGATAACAGATAATATTGGGGGGAAAGAAGGATTCAAGGGGATAATGTCATAATGTACGACGTTTGTCTGACCCATCACAGAGGCTCGTTGTGGGTGGTTGCATTACTCTTCACGGGCGATGCCGTTCCTCCGACCGTGATCGCCACAGGGATTTAAATGCCTCCAGATGGACAGACATGGGACGACTAGAATGGGTGTGCAAGGGAAGCTGAACCGGAAGCTTTGCTGCCCACAATTCTTGATGCCCTCACACAAGTGCTTGGGGAGGGGGAAACTAAATTGCGACACTAAACCGACTCGAGGCAATTACAGCTGAGCACGGCAAAACTGGACACTGTGGGGTGATTGATTGAGAGCTTGAGATTAGGGTAATTGGGCTTCCACTCCCCCTCCTGAGCTATGGACCCTAATCATCCTTCGGTGTTGTTTTAGGAAGAGAGCTCGACGTCATTATTCGCAAGGTTTCTAGCAAGGGAGGAGCTACGACGGTCTTTCTCGCCATCAACAGCTTCGACACTTGAGCGTCTTCTTATTGAGCGAGCCAAAAGAAGAAAAAAGAAAAAGAAAAGAAAGGGTTGTTATCATTACAGCCGCCATCTTCCTCTCCCCTCTTCTCATCCGAGGTCTGAAAACTGCGGGGCACCTTGAAGCTCGAAGCGCCGAACCAACATTTCCCCCCGATTCACCGCTCTCCCGATCTTACATTCGCGAATCTCGTATATCTCGCGATAGTTTACACCGAGCTCGTAGCCAGATTACACGAGCCGTCGACTACAGGAAGAACAAAAATTAATAGATCAGATCACTCGCAATCGTAATCATCATCAACCATGAGCGTACCTTCCTCAGAGCTCCCCTCACGGGCTACCACAGGTATCAGCACCTTCAGCGATGAGGCCATCCCCGAGTTTGATCCCTCCACGGTACGCTGACAATCATCCATTTACACTTCACCCAATCTGCGCGAAACAGCGCAAGGAGTCCCTATCCTGCCTTTTCATTCCTTCTCAAGATTAAAACCCTGCCACGAACTGCATTTCACGGCGTCCCCGATTTGTGCTGCTAACCTCACCGTATCAGACCGCTGGGCTCCTCTCCGAGCGACTGCAAGCATGGAAACATGCAGTCGGGTACCTAGAGGACTACGTGAGCGCCGTGGAGAAAATCCACAAGGCTCACGCAAAGGAATATGAAAGGGCTCTCAAGGCAAGTTGTTCGACCGCCGACGCATACGCCCCCTCCCTCATGGCATCACCGTCGAAAACGAGGGAGTCCAAGCGAGAGAAGGCAAAAAGGGATGGCATGGCATATGGTAAGGCGTACTAACCGCTTTTTTGTTTCGATAGACCATATCGAATCCTCTGAGAGAGGGTCATCACTTTGATCAGAGCCTAGGTGGGATTGCCGGTTTCTTCGAGAACCTGCGCCACAACACGCAAGCAATCATCAACACCAACCTCGAGACCGAGAAGGCTCTCAAGGGGAATGTGCTTCCCGTCCTCGAGCGCCTTCACAAGGAGATCAAGCACAAGGCGAAGGAGCTTGCCAGCGGTGCCGCGAAGGGTGCCAAGGAGGTCGAGAAAGCCCGAAACACGACGCAGAAGCACATTGAGCTTCTCGGCCAGCAGACCGCTTCTTTCGAGTCAGCCGGAGGCAAGATCAATGGTGGCCACGAAGATCCCTACGTGATCCGAAGGGGCGTTCTTCACCGCCTGCACAAGCAGGTCCTCGAGGAAAACGCCCACCGGGGCGATCTTATTGCCGTGCAGAACAACTTTCAAGAGTTCGAGGCTCATACCATCCACACCTTGCAGCAGGCTATGGATGCCTTCACGCAGCTTGCCGGGGGCCAGGGCGAGAAGATTCGGGCGCTGCATTCGGACATGTTGGGCGCCATCCAGAGGGTGCCCCCCGAGTATGAGTGGAAGTCCTTTGTCGCGCGTAGTGGTGACCTCCTCGTCGACCCCAACGAGCCGCCACGTGTCGTGGATGCCATCACGTTCCCTAACATGGACCACACATCCACTAAGCCACTGATCGAGGGTACCCTCGAGAGGAAGTCGCGGAACAAGCTGTCTTGGGGATACCAGACGGGATACTACGTGATAACCCCGTCCAAGTTCCTACACGAGTTCAAGGACTCCGATAATACTCGCCACGACCCCAAGCCCGAGCTCAGCGTCTATCTCCCCGGCGCCCTTATCGGAAATCCAGTCGGGGACAAATTCAGCGTCAAGGGCAAAGATACGAGCAAGACGCTGAGCAGCAAGTTGTCCGGATCATCAGAGCTTTCTTTCAAGGCGCACACGGCTGCTGACGCAGAAAAATGGTTCCGCATCATCAAGGAGGCCGCAGATTCGGCCGCCGCTCCGTTGTCACCCACCTCTCCGACTTCACCACTTTCGCCCCCAACTCCTGTCGATGCGGCAGCATCTGCTGCGCCCACCGCATCTAGCGCAGCTGCTGCCTCTGGGGAGAAACTAGAGATGAATGAAGCAAAGGTAGTCACGCCCGAGGGAGAGCATCCTCCTCAGGAAAGCGGTGTGTCGGGTGGTTCTGCTGGTCCTGCCAAGGTGGCCCCGGCGGACACGAAGGGAACATCTGCAGCTGCGTAAATGACGAATGATTGTTGTGGAGGTATGAGCCGCATGAACAAATCTCTTTTTTTCTTTTAGTTTTCTTTTCGAATCCGATGGCTTCTTGCCAAGGGAACAGAATAGGAGAGCGATGGGTTGGCCGGCCGCAGGGTTGCGGAGCAAATCAGAAGGGGACATGAAAGAAAGTGCTGGCCACCGGGGCCGGCCTGATTTTGACACCTGGCTACCAAACCCGCCGCTCACCAATCGATGTTGGTCGCTTCAAAGTTATAATATTATCTATCTGCTTTTAAAAAAAAAATCTTGGTTGCTTCCGCATTCAGGTTTAATTCGAGAGCCTTGCCTTGCCAGGTTTTGCTTCTCTTAACCGGATTCCCGGGATTTTGAGGCAGGGACTGGCGGTGAAGAACGGCTTTATCTTTTGGTTGGGCGACGGTTTTGCCAATGCGAGGCGGACCTGCTGTGTGACTGGACGCGCATCTGGATCTCTGCCCAGTGCCAGCTCACGTACGAAGTATCAGTGGATTCGAGTGAGTGCGCTGTACGAAGTAGCCGCATCTCAGTTGCTTCGCGCCCGTTTTCCCCCCTCCTTCATCTCTTTCTAGGCACAATCTGTCGTCTCGAGCTAGTGTTAGTCCAAATCGATTTGCAGACATTTTGATTCTTGGAATATCCTCTATCCTGTCAATTCGTCCTTTGGAAGTAACTGTCTGACGAAAGAAAAAAAAATTGTTCAATTGGAACTCTGTCGAAGCCACTAAGTTTCATTCGCGGCTTTTTTTGGAATCTTGCTTTCATATGACCCTAAACTGTTGATCTTGTGATATCGTGAAGCGAGCCCATTGACGTCCTTGATGTTCTTGTTTCCGGGGGCCAATGTACTGCAAGTCAGGCAGAAATGCGGCTCGCGCACTGGGCAGCCAGAAGAAGGTCGTGGAGGGTAGAAGTAACACAACGGAAGAACGTTGCGGGTAAGGCTCAGTGCCGGTGTTCGGTTTGGCTTGATTTGGCCCTACGACAATGCATACCGAGTTTTGTATTGTCGAGCTGGTGAGAGGTCAGCTCGACCCTTGGCTCTGAACGCCACAGCCGCGCATCATTCTCCTTGAGGGTGAGGGGGGACGCCCGGTATGGTTGGCTAAGGCACGGCGAGTGTTCCCGGACAGAGAGGACAGCACTTACTTGATGCCACATGCGATTTATCCCATGCCACTTACATCGGCACGAGGATTGGGTTTCAACCGTCCTTGAGCCGCAAACAAATCCTAGTTTGTTTGGGAGACTCCTCGCAGATTTCACATATCACGACATGAATGATCCATGTCCGTGTTCGGATTCGGTAAAAACTTCCACGTCGACGCCAAGGGCCAGCATCGAAAGCAATGAATTGAGACCGATTGTTCGACGGCTTAGGCCCAACCGTCCGATCGATGAAAGTTCGGACGGTGTGACCGCTGCTCTGCAGCACTTCAGGGATCTCTCTGCATAACGCGCATCATCGGCTTCTCCATAGAATGCATCGCTCCCTGCATTCTTCCCTTGAACCGAACCCCAGAAGGTTCAAGCGTCTCCTTCTCAGAGATCGCGATATGCGGTGAATGCGCTACAGGGAAGTTGTCCCTTTCATAGTTCGGGGCGAGGGCCATTATTCGCAGTGATCAACAGTACAGCAACACCTCCCAAGAGCCAATCGAAAAGATGAGGGCGCCTGCAGACCCATGCATCTCCCATCACCAAGCACTAGATGAGGAAGCACGAGAAACCAACCAACCTTAATGCGCCTTCTGTCCGCACCCCCTTTCCAATACCCTTCCTATTGTAGACACACCTCTTCTTCACTTACTTCTAAGCCACCTTCTCTCCGCTTTCTTTTTCTCCCCCCCCCCCCCCCCCCCCCCCCCCCCCAAGGTTGCCCGCGGCCAACTTGTATCGCAGCCCAAGAAATTAGGGAGTGGATTTGAGGCTCTTAAGGATGCCAACCCTTTTCGGTTTCTGATGGGACAAGAAGCAAGAGGCCAATAAAGTACCCTGGCTACGAGAACGGCATAGTAAAGGTACACAATCTAGAAGGTCGCCTTGTTACTTCAGCCAGTCTCAACCGTCTGGATGCCTTCTCCTGTCCGCCTTCTTCGACCCCGCGCGTGTCTTGTTCATAAAAACGGAGGCTACCCACAACGGAAACGAGAAGTTGATTATTTCTTTTATCATATTTCTTCTGAGACGGCTTCTTCCTATCTGGGATGATGAAGTTATAGCCTTTATACCACGCCGTCTGCCACAATTGCTTCTTCTACTTCCTTCGATTCGTACACTCCTTCTTATACATTGTTCAACCCGCTCTTACACACCGAAACTCTCCTTTTCTCAACCCACCCCTCTCTATACCGTCCTACTCCAGATCCTCATATTTTCTTCCAAGTACAACACGATGCCTGACGACTGGCAACAGTACCAGGGCACTATCGTCAACCTATACCAGGGCCAGAACAAGACCTGTGACGAGGTCCGCAAACACATGAAAAACAACTACGGCTTCGTGAAATCGTGAGTCTTCTTCTATGCATGTTTTATGAGGGGAAGAAAATGAGCCCCTTGTCCTCACCTATTTCGATCCCATCTCCCCGTGGCGGATGTGTTGCGTGTCCTTTCCCGACGAATAGCGGCAACTTGAATGCTGACCGCCGCCGGCCGCGGGTAGTGTCCGAAGCTACAGGTCTCACTTGAAACGATGGGGGATTAGGAAATACCAAAGGCACAGGAGACGAAGCACGCCAGGACCCTCGAGCCCTTACGGGGACGGTCTGAGCCCAAACCGACCGGCTCCTTCTCCCTTGAATTCCAACATGGACACGGACGAGCCACCTTCCTCCCTTATCGCCAACGTCTCCGGCGGCCTCCCCGGCCCGATCCCTTCGGACGCTGAGAACTTTTTCCACTATTTCGATGACGGGACTACGGGATCTTTCAGCGCCTACTCCCCCGGGGGTCAGTACCTCACTCCACCCGATTAGTTAGTCGATCCCCCCCTTTTCCCCTTGTTGTTCACCTTGTCTCTCGCCAAGAGTCTGTTCACTAATCTTCCTTTTCCTTTTCCCCTCTCTTCTCATTCCAGTCCTAGATATTCTCCTATGCAGGATCAAAACAGGCCCGAATTTTTACTCGTTCATGGTTCCCCCCTCCAAGGTCAAAATAGCGCCGATTTTCCACTCGCTCCTGGCTCTCCTCTCCGGGGTCCAAATAGCCACAGCCCCGGCTATCCACTCGTTCCTGGTCCTACCAGCCCGGAGCCTTGGGCGCCCTTCCAGCGAGGCGACTTCTCCCTCGCCGGCGCCTCCGAATCCGCCAACTTCGAGGGCACTCAGCTCTCCATTCAAACGGCTCTTAATCCCTACACTGGACCTCCGGAAATCAACATAACGCCTGCGGAGGAGCTGGTTCAAGATAGCCAGGATTTGGGTTTCCCTGGTCCGGATCGGACGCCGGATTATCTCTACGGTTACAACAATGCTCGGCCGCCCCGGTCCGGAGGCAGGGGGCGGTAAACTGGCTTGTGTTTACACACACGCCTAGAAGAGAAAAAGAAAAAGGAAAAAAGAAAAAAGAAAAAAGAAAAAAAGAAAAAAAAAAAAAAGTTAAAAAGTTTTTTTGTAAAAAAGAAGAGGTTAAAAAAGAGGAAAAAGAAAAAAAGAGAACCCCCCCCCAAAAAAAAGGAAAAGACGAGACAGACTCTTCGGGCAACTTTACCCCGGACCGCGGCGGGGCTTGATTCTTAGACGACGGACGTGGACGAATCGTCCGCCTGCCTCTCACTTAATACTTGATGAGGCGACCTCAGCCAACAGCTCGCGGGGTACGGATCCGGGGCAAGAGGGGTCTTCTTTTATAGCGGGCTGGGACATGGGGAAAGTAGGGTTGGAACAGAAAGAACCATTGCGAATCTCCTTTGTAACTGATTTATGACATGATGAATGGGGATGAGCTCACGATGCCGAGGAGGCAAGATGGGATGAAGCGTTTGACTTATTAGAGTTACGATTTCTTTTATTTTTCTCTTTTTATGACTCTTTTTATTTTGTTTTTCCTTTCTTCTCTTTCTTATACTTTTCTTTCTTTCTTTCTTTTTTTTTTTCTTTTTTTCTTCGTTTGGTTCTTCTTTTTCTATTACCTTACTGTTATGACCAGTCTGCCAGCGCCAGACATGTAAATAGCCTCGTCTTTTTTGATAGCAGCAAACGAGACTAGGTCGCACGATATATATATTACATAGCATAGCTTGCATGTCCATCAACCATGTCGTTACATTGATTAGTGGCTTGGTGAAAAACTCGCGGTTGGTCTATCAGCGTATGAAGCGAGCAAATAATAAAGTGCGAGCCCTCGTCCAAGCTCCTGCCGAGATCCAGGCGGAAAGAAGAAAAGACGCGCCTTTATGTATGAAACCAGGCATTAAATCCACTTTAGGCTCAGGCGTCCCTACGAATCTGCTAACTTGGCAAAGTGTTTCGACCAGAGCCATCCGACTTGTTCGGATGGGTCGTCCTCGTTGAAGGCGAGCCAGAGTTCGCCTTTCTCCGCGATCACGTCGAATATCTGGGAAGTCTCATGTTAACCAGATTGTACATAATCCTGCCCGCATTTTTAAAGAAGAAACGCACCTCGCCAGCTTGATATGTCAAGAACGGATATCCAGCTTCATATTTAGTTCGTGACATGTTGAACGAATACAGCGAAGCGCCTAGCCACAAAACCTTGTATCCATTCTTGATATAAATCCTTTCGGGTTCATCTTCATCTCCGACACTTGAGGATGAAGGGAGGTCGAGAGCTGAACGGAAAAGACCCGAGAATCGTCGGGGGGCCTCCTGAGAAACGTTAGCACCGGGTTGGTTGCCCACAGGAAACTCCAGAACGCATGAAAATATCATCTCTTACCGGGCTGGCGTTTCCCTCTGCCCGACAATGATGGCATGCCGTGCCCCCATCATCCTGATACCAGCGAATGTGGCAGGTTGGGCATTGAACTGTCCTGGAAGACTCGGAGAGACTTTCCGAATCACTTTCACCCTCGGACTCTTCCACATCAGTCTCCTCTTCGGGAAGGTTTATCTCAAGGCCTTCAATCGATAAGGGCAGAGATTCGAGCGCCAGGAGTTGTAGATGTCTTGCCAGGTGCCGGTAATAATGCCTTGATGGGCTCCCCTGGTCTATTAACGAGTCGGGCGGTTCCCATTCATCGCAAAGAGGACAAGAAAGGAGCTTGCTGTGCCGGACCGGCCGCTTGAAGGCGTCTAGGATCGTCTGCATCTGACTTTCCGCGACCATGCCGGGGTGGCGGGTTTGAAGGTGGCGCACCATGTCTTCTTCGGTACCAGTGTCGAATGCTTCTCTGCCGCCAGCAATGCATAAATTACATGACCATCGACATTGATGGACTTTTAGCTCGTGATCTATCCATTCGCGGCGAGTAGGAAACAAGGTCGACGGCGAAGAACACTCCTCAAACGTGCAGACATAGGGTTGGAGATCCGCGAAAACATGGCTTCTGGTAGATTAGAGATGAACTCCTTGTCAGCGAATCGTCAACCATCTCACGAGGCTCATTTTTAACCGCTAGCAGGAAATAGCTTTGTGGCGGCTAACCACATACTTCCACTCAAAACGGGTCCCCATGGTTTGGATAGTGCGGCAGTAAGGGCATTCGAATGCTTTATCGTATTCCGCTTGAACCCCCTCCATCACCATCTCTGTGAGATCCGGAATTCGTCTTCCAATCGCTTGGCCCTCGCTGTCAGTCATGAAAGAAGTAGCGAAAGTACAAACAGACAACCGATTGAGCGCCGCATCGGAGCTCTGGCCAGGATGAGACGACTTGAGATCCTCGACATATGTCGTGGCGAGCGTGGATATGTCATCTATAACTCCTCCCAAGTGGGCGTTCGCCAGCTTTTGTCGATGTTCCTGCCTGTGCTGGATAAACTGCCTTCGTAAGGTTATCGCATTCCCCAGACGCTTCGAAAGCCATGGAGTACGCTTGGTCTTGGGATACTTATCAGAGACGCCGCTGATATCTGGAGATGCCTCAAGATGGGTAAAAGAATCAAGGGGAGGGAAGCGACCTCTCGGACGATGTCTGCGTATTATTATCGATAGAGCAAAAAGGTGGCTAACGGACGACTGGATGCCCAGTACCAGCTCTCTCAGTGGCTCCCAAATTGGGTCTGACGCTGGACGAGCTGTCGAGTATGCACCTACATCATCCGTTTCCAAATCCGAAAGGAAGTTGAAAGCTGTGGACATTGGCGTTTCTCGTCAACTCTATTACGCAAAACTGTTGCTACCACGCCCAGCTACTCAATCAAACCGGCGAAGTGAAGTTTTGCTCATGCTGCTCACCTCTCCTAGCCAAGTTTTCCAACCTTTCAAGACCGGTTAGGACTCCCGTCCGTATATATGCTGCGCTTCTCAGCCGGTAATCGAGCGACTTAGTAGACTTGGGAAGTTGGAGGGCTCCGAGATTCCCGATCCAAACCCGAAAACGCCCACCATTATCCTCGGAGATGTCCTTCAAGTCACCCAGAGCGGGATAATTCCGGAGGCGATTCGAAAGACCGTCTAGAGACACGACGCACAAGGAAGTCAAAGAGTATAACGAGAGAGAAGAGGTGGCCTCCGAGTCCATGTTAATGGTGTATTGTGGTGCATTGGGAAATCTTTCAGATGAATTGTTCTCTCATCCACAGGATTTGATACTCTCTTTTGCTCATAGCCGTGAACACACTGAACCATCTCCACGTGACTGCGACTGCGACTGCGCAGAGCTCATAATGGGTTGATATGATGATTGGATTCGATGATTGGATAATTGGGTTCTGGGTCTATTGAGAGAAGCACAGCTGTGCATGAGAATGAGGGGTTTCTCTCATGGGGTTCGGCTGCACTAGTCCAGCGTTGCGTCTCTCGGCAACGACGATACCGAGATGGGCTCGGCTTCCCTCTCTTCTCTTCGAATTATCTCCACCCCGTGGACAAGGGGTGAATAAGATTCAAATATAATGTCAGGTTTCGAGATCGCCGGGCTGGTCCTTGGAGCGTTCCCCCTCTTGCTCGAGGCGGCGAAAGAGCTCCGGGGCGTCTTCCGAGATGTGAGGACGTGGTGGAAATTCGAGAGGGAATTCGAGGATCTCATATCGTCTATTGAGAGGGAGCAAATTGCCTTTTCCCTGAACCTCGACGTCCTCTTGGCACCGTTGGACATCAGCGAAGAAGAACGAGAGGCAATGCAGTTTGACCCAAATTCGGTTCTCTGGCACAGTCCCAAGATTCAAGCCGAGCTCAAAAGACGAATCCAAGCTCGGTACTTCCCTTGGTTCATGAGGGAGCTTAAAGATATCGAGGATTCTTTGGAGGAGTTGTGCGATATACTGGCAATTGGGAAGGTGAGAGGGAATCTACGCTTTTGACGTGAGCGATATAAGAACGAAACTCATGAGTGTTGTTCTTAGCTAGATAAAATGAGCAACGATAGGTTAGAACACGAAATGTTCAAGCTGAAAACCAGTTTCTTCCACAGGAAAGACCAATTGCTTTCCAGAATAAGAGACAAGAATGACGCACTCTGGAGGTTCCTCGACAAGGCCTCTAACAGGATCCAGTTAACTCCATCTCCAAAACAAGGATCTGGTGCAACCTCGTTCACGGCAGTCCAGGAACACGCACAAGCTCTGTACCAATGCTTGCAACTGCAGTGGTTTTGCACCTGTACTCAAAACCATCCGTGTGGTATCAAAGTCCAGCCAAGCGAGGGTAGAAAGGATGACGAGAAGGCATATCTTCAAGTTCTCTTCGATGACAATTCCTGCCGCACTCAGTTGAAAGTGATGGTGGAATCACCTGCGATCGAGAGGCCACGGACGGTAGAGCGGTACAGACCGGACGACATTTCCGAATTATCCCAGAAGATGTCGATCAAAAACCGGCTCAAGGAGCGTTTCGGATTGAAAGGGTCAAAAGCAGTTCCATTGTTGGCAGTCTCTAGTGTCCTGACAGCGAACAATATTCACCCTGCAGATTTTGCTCTGGACGAAGAGCCTAAAAAAAGCCGCGGAAAACTCTCGAGACTCTCAATACCGGGTTACTCGAGAGAGAGGAGATCTGCTTCACCGACTAGCACCATAAGGAGCTCTACATCTAGAGGCAGCGCTTCAGAAATGTGAGTTCTCATCTGCCGAAGTACTGAATTCCAATCTAGTGTTAAGAAGCTGGAGTTATTGACAAATCAAAACAGTCAACGGGCTCCATCCCCGACCGCGGCCCCGGCCCCGGCCGCGGCTCCTCCTAATCCTCGGCGGGTGCGTTTTGCCAATGACCAACCCGAAAACTCTACCCACCTTGAGCGTAAGAATGCCAAGGTTATCACCGACCTCTGCTCTACAATTCGGTGCCAAGACATGGACTGCTGCTTAGGCTTCCTTCAGCCAGACCGAGGAAACAGACTCTTCATCTATTTAGATCCCCCAGACCAGTCCGAACTTCAGGACTGCAGGTTAGAATCCGTAGAAAGCTTCCTCAGCAATACGCCCCGGAGGGAGACGCGTATTCGCCTTGGGCTATCGTTGGCCCTTAGCCTTCTTTACTTGGGCCCAACGCCATGGGTTCCGCCGTCGTGGACCAAGACGGAGCTCCTTGTCCTAAGAGGAAGCGGTACGAGCACTGAGAAACCACAGCCATACTTCTCCCATGCCTCGCTTCCCAGAACACTGAAAAAACGGCCGGCCCAGGCCGGGACCGCAGCAGCACTAGCACGGGAGAGCCTCTTCAAACTGGGCGTCGTCCTCTTGGAACTCGTGTTCCGCGACACCTTAGAAAACCAACACTTTAGGGCCGACTACCTCGACAAAATAGGCCAGCCCAACGACCTGACCGACCTTTGCACAGCATTGAGGTGGCAAACTCGTGCAGAGGAAGAGTTTGGCTTTGGGCTGGCGGATGCAATCCGGAAGTGCATTCTGTGCGCGTTCGATCCGACGCCGGACTTGGGGAATTCGGCATTCTTGCAGGCTGTGAGGCAGGGTGTTATAAGTCCTCTTACCACGTTTTTGAATATGTGGAGTTCGGGAGGATTCTGAGATCATTGATGCCAGTCCTTTGCATCCGTGCAATCTCTAGATTCTGGTGTGATAAAGGAGCCGAATGATAATCATCGCAGGTTGAGCTTGGCGCTGGTCGACGGAAAGGAGATGCAGCGAGCTTTGTCGATAAGCGATTAATACGGCAATTTACGATACTGAGGGCTTAGCTGAAGGAGAGGTGTAGGATAATGAGAAGTTCTAGCACTAGATGAGGTAGTTGCGAAAACTACATGGGAAATATAGTTGATTATTTCAAAGTATAGTGAGAACTTAGGAAAGGTCTTATAAGTTATGTTTCTTTTCGGTCAAACAGATAGACAAAAACCTTGAGCATAAATATCCGTATTCCACAAACAAGACACAAAGAAGAAGGCCGAGGAGCCTATGGTGAAATAAACCCGGGATCGTACAATGAATTTCCTCGTATAATCATCCACAGAGCTACTTTTCGCGGAAACAAGCTCGTCAAGTTTCCCCCGACATGTCATGGCGAGCTAGTCGAGAGACATGTCATTAGAAGGCTTAGGACGCTCTCGGTGGAGGACTGGCACAGCGCCGTTTATAGGTAGTCGCAGGTGCGATGCCTTCAATCAGTCCTAGCAACACACTGAAAGGGGCCCCTGGGAGGGAAGTTATTCGATGTCGGAAATGGAAGTAAAGGGCATGAGCGAAGACGTCGCGCCCTCTCCTACACTTACTTCGCCTTTTTGTCTCTCCACGATCCATCAGTTAAAGCGTTGGTGACTCCTTATATATTCGTCAGGTATTCGGTCCAAGAAGACAACCTCGTTCTCCATGTACCGTCGGATCGACAACCCAAGATACTCCCTCAAGCCGCGTAGCCTCCGGAACTCAACCAGAGGGTGTTGGCGTCTTTTAGGAATCCAGATCTCGTGGATCACCACTTTTCTTCTACCCTCTCGCACCCGGAAGTCTGCAAGGGCCTCGGCGGCCTTGAGGCTCTCCTCGTAGGCGGATATTAGGGAAGTGGGCGTCATGTTGGATAGCGAACCATGGTTCCGAACGGCGTCGCGAGTATCATAGAATTCGGGTGTATTGCGAAAGGGGGAGAGGGTTATGGGGCCATTTTTCCGAGGTTGTGCGACGATGCCTCGGCCCCGCTCATAGCGGTCTCGAGAGGAGGAGTCCTCCACACGGTGGAAGATGATAAAGCCGTCTCTGTAATCGATCATTCTTGATAAAAGATGGGATAGAAGGATTTGGATATTACGCCGGTAATGCAAGTTCGGTAATAGACAGAGAAAGATGGATGGAATAGAAAGGAGGGCTACTAACTAGAGGGTGCGGAAAGACAAATATATAAACTAGAAGGAGATGTAGGCATGTTTTATTCTTCCCATCCGTCGAGTCCCGTGAGCATGTAAGAACTATCCCGCCAGCCATCGGCGGAACATGCGCTTATTGAGCATCATCAGAGCTCCAACCCGGAAAAGACCATACGGATGTGACGGAAGCAGAAAGACCTTTCACTTAACGAATCGCGTTCTGCCACGTCAACTGTAGCTGCAAAATGACGGCGGATTAGGAATCTTCCACGGGATTTTGGGGAAGAGGGGTAAGGCGTGTTGGAAGTAGACGCCGCGTTCCGAGTTTGTGTAACAGGAGGGCTGACAAAAATCTGGAATCAGTCTCAAGTCTTCACGTGTGCGCTGCTGGCCCTTCATGTGATAGTTTGACGGCGAGAAATGGATTGGGAGGAATAGGGAGCGGGCGTTAATGAGTACAGGACAATAATGAGTGATGATAACTCTAGTCCCATTTCCAAACTTGACTGGTCTCGCATCATCGTTGGGTATCAGCCGATGCCGGCTTCCTGGGCGGCAGAAGCTGAAGTGGTCCTGTGGAGGATGAGCAGAGGGTGAGGTTTTGGAGAAAGGCTTGAGAGACGCGGATGGTGCGTCGGCCAGACTACTAGCGGGCAGAAGACCCGATCTGTCAACTGAGTCTACGGCCTCTCTTTCTTCGGTTAACAGTAGCTGTAGAAACGAGGCAGCGTTTTGGACCAACTATTGTTTTCGGGGAAGGATGATGTGGACTACGAATCTCAGCAGATTCCACTAAACTTGTTAGGAATATCAACCGACAGTATGCTCCGGGGCCAAAGCGGTGGGTGACCCATCACTGGCTCTGCCTTTCCCACACATCGGCCACACACTCTTCTGGTGACCCACCGCCGAACCATCTCGTGAGGTTACGCTCGTACGAACCCCGGCGAACGGAAGATGGCGCTGACCCACTAACTGAGTGGATCCTGAGATACGGGATTCGGAGAGCTGGAGATAGAAGGACGATGACCCTTTAAATTGTGGATGACCATCTGCGATGGAAGGATTCGAGAAACCTAGACTACTCATATTAATCTCGAGCAGCAAGACATGCAAGATGGAGCCTACCATGAGGTGCTTGGAAGGTCTTCTTTTCAAAACACATTGCGACAATTGGAACGGCCGAAAAGATGGAGAGCAATGAGAGTGCAAAGTTTTAAATTTTCATTTTTCTTTTCTTCCTTGTCAAGGCTTATGGCCTGTGGTAATGAATAATATAATATATCTGTGCTGGGTTAGGTGGGTTAGTAAATCAGCCGTTATCCTTTGTGAGAGCGCTCTGCGCTTGTATCGCGAGTAATATGCTGCTTTACCCAATTCTGTTCACTGTTCCACTTCTTCTTCACACCTCTACTAGACCGCCGAACCAAATAACCCGTGAGCTTTGGTCCGTCTACAGCAACGTGTTTCAGTTATCCTTTCCTTTGCTTACCTTACGCAGGCACAGCCACGCGGAGGTTAGACTTCTCTGGACGACAATAGTCGAGCTTTCGAGACTTTTCCTACGAGTCAAGCACGAGACGGGAAGCTGGCTCCTCGTCTAGTCCAGCGACAGGATATAGCAAGGGGTTTCAGGCACAAGCAAACTAAATCACCTGTTAGCGACTAGCTGTAACAGTAGCAAGTAGATTATGAGGTTGCAGTGAAGGGCACATGTCAGGAATAAATGCCTTGTCAAGGGCGATGTCATCAATGCGTATGGCTAAGTTGACCGTCGTGATAATATTGAGTCATCATATAGTGCAGAGGGTAAGGTAAAAAGGGTAAACATGTCTGAAGAGATGACAAACCTTTATGATACGATACGCATATGGTCTCTCACTGTGTCTGTTCCAGAAAGATAGAAGAGGAATTAGGCCCAGCTGCGTCGAGTAATCCACAGCGAGTGTGAAATAATACACACACTATCAGGGGCAACTGTTAGTCTCACCAACCCTTACAACCCAGGGCTCAGGCAGAGAAGAAAGGTGAAGGGCTTGTTCAGGAATGTCGAAAAGATATCTTCGTCGCCTTGAAGGCTCGGACATATGCTTGTCATTGTGTATGGCTCATCATTGAAACTGAGGTCAAGGCAAAAAAAAGAGACTCGTGACGACATACGTTGTTGCTTTTGTTTCATACAGTTCCTGACTCCTGGTTAGCACGAGTCATTCCGCATTGTGAGCTTGTGAATAGAGAAAATAGAAAACGATATCAGGAAGCATGAATGGAATTAAAAATGAGTATCAGCATCGGGAAGCCCGAGTAAGACTCGTCATCTGAAATCATCATATCGTAGAGGACTCGGAATAACTAGAAGACGGGGTTACAAACCTTTAATTTACTGGGATTTTAGTATCAAGGCAATATATGTGATAGCAACTGTGCCAAGTCAGCCATACCATCCCAAAGGATACCCGGTTGTCAAAACAAATATCGAGGGTGGCCAAGGTGAGTCAGTGGGCGAGGTTTTCTAGGCCTGCCACAGAAGGCGTTGTCTGCTCATGTATACATGTCGGAGCCCAGTGCCGCGATTCATCATTCAATGGCGAGAGAAAAAAAGACCGAGGGTATTGTGGTAGTAACGGGAATATGTACCTTTTAAATGAGCGTGCAACTATGACTGCAGCAGTGTTAGCCATAGCCAGATTAGACAAGCAAACACAATAACAGCGAAGGATCGAGTGATGGGTATCAGAAACAGCCAATTTGATATCGTCAAAGCAGATGCTCAGCCGGTAATTTCCAGCGTGCAATCGCACGAATGATCATCATGAACACGAGGGGAAAGGAAAGCGTCAAAAACAAGTGGGCTATACATACAAGTTGCACTCGAGGAATAGCTTGTTCAGGTGGTCAGGCAATCTGCGGCTCAAATGAAAGCCATCGCATCAGCTTGTCCTGAACCTGGCATCTATCTTCGCGTTAGATCACATTCTGTCACTGAAATGAAAACACAGAAATATCCAGCAGCTGGTCAATCAGACTGACGTGAAAAAGAAGTTTCATGTCGTCCCTGTGGGAGATCAAAGACTCTAGTTTGCGGTTTATCAAATCATCATACCAGCTGCGGTAGGGAACGGGATTGGATGCGAACGAAGACGAAGGCATAAACATGAACTTACCAATAGCAAAGACCCTGAAGAGGGCCGGACCAGGCCTCTTCGAGGTGAGGACTCGAATTCTGCTTTCAAGAAGCAGGAATCGAAGAGCTTGAAAGAAATTCAAAATGGAGAAAGAAAATTATTTATCCTGAGGCTTTGGATGTGGGGCTTGCCAGCTTTTGCGAAATTGAAGCGGCTACGGCTGACTCAGAAAGTGGTACGTACCAAGGTCAGCTGATCTCGTGTGGAAGTCGCGATCCTCGAAGTGTCGAGCTCTCAAAATATTCTCAGACCATCAAATTCTGGCCGGATTCATGATACAGACGCCTTACACGGGTCACACGGATCCTACGATGGGTGATAGACTAAGGAATATACCACTCCATGGTCACTTCCATGAGTTCACTCCATCTCCTAATCTAGAGGCCTCTTGATACCGGATTCCAATTTCTGGAGATACTGCTCTGCCCCGGGCTAGTAAGCCGGAACATAACCGCACTAATTCGTAGCTGAGGTCTTTTTCCATGAAGGATGCCCATCTGTTCAGACGATCTCAAAATACTGGATACTCTCCGAGCTGGAATTCCAGTAACTGAGACGCGGAGTGGTGAGCCCTTTCCCTCAAGTGCTACCTCAACCTCTTCAAACTTCTGATGATACAGAGTTCTCGCCGCCACCTGCCGCGATACGATACGATGGGCGATGTGTTTAGGGTCCTGGGGAATCTCCCTCTCCCTGACTCATTTGTCGGACAGAGCCTGCGGGAAGGACATTAAGCAAGGATTGACTGCCTCCAGCGTCGAGCGAGAGAGTTCTAACTAATTACAGAACATTGAAGTGATCATAGACAAACACTATGTTGCATCCCCATAGTGACGTGGCTGGAATGAAAAGGTCCTCGGTCTCTAAAGATTTTAGTCTCATTTTTGATGAAGAAGCAGCCGTCAGGTTTGGCAAACTCAAAACAGCGCCGATATTCGAGCGAAGCCCAGCACTCACCAGGCCTCTCTCTCTTGGGCACCTCCCTGCCGGACCTGTTATTCCCCAGGCTCTTTTTGGGGGGGAGGCGAAAAAAATCTCGTCCTCTGCTTGAAATTTGCCACGAGGATCAAAAACGACAGAGGGTGGCTTAGACTGTAGTTTTGGAAAAAGGTCAACTTCATCAGGGCCGCATGGGCCCCTGAGACATACCACGGCCAACCTGCGACCGCATCCCCAGCCACAGGCATTCTTGTCGTAAGTGGAATAATAATTCGACCTCTTCATCTGAGAGGGCCACATCTAGGCATGCAAACATGCCCCTAATCTAAGATCAATATCGACCCTTCCCGAGATAGCACGAAAAAAGCCCGGGGCACCTGAGCCGCGAGATGATGTGACTTGGCTGTCCTAACAGTCCTTGTAGTCGAATGCAAAAATAAAGTTAAGTACGAAGTAGACAGGAGGAATATTTCACATATTATTGCTGGAAAAGTTTTGATTGGAATATAATCAATACATCTTTATTTACAGCTCTCCATCGTCACCGCTGCTTTTCTTCGAAAGGAAAGATTACGTCGATGGCCGAAACGTGGCGTAGCAAGCGACTGGGGCAATTAGGCTTCCAAGCGTTTACATCAAATTCACCTCTGTTAACCCAAACCCATAGAGCCAGTCTTAGGGGACTACTTTCCCACAGTATCGTCTTCGACAAGGACAGGCGAAAACGGTTGGTAGATACGGAGGATCTCCAAACCTTGCGTTGTAGAATACAAGCGACTTCTGATCTTCTCGTCTCCTCCCACCTCATTCTGCCATCTACGTGTGCCGAGTTGTAATTCCAGCTAGATCCCCCCTCCCGGTCGATCATTTTGTCTTCCTTAAGCTTATCCCCTCCATACCACTTCATCGAGGTACCTAATTTACTAGCAGTAACACCGCCAAATCGAAGTATTTTTGTGAAAACTCTTCAGATGAAAAAGTATTTTTCCCTTCCATTTCATTAGATAAAATTACGCGAGTTATTCAAACTGGTTTTGGTTATCTGAACTTGCATGCGCCACTGGGAGCAGCAACAGGGGATCAATTTGGTGGCAAGGGAAGGGCGCGACCGGGGTTAGTAAGAGTGACCAGCATCGACAATATCAAATGACTCCGCGTGTCCCGAACCACGATCTTTCATTCACGCGTTCCTTCACCGAACGAACCTTCGCCTCCTCCAAGTTAACTCATTCAAAATGCCCGAGATAGCTGAAGGTAACCCGAAAATCTCAATTGCCTGAATTATGGCCGCACTCCGTGGTTTCCATGGGTTGTACGCAATATTTGGTTGCTAATGTTTTCCCGTAGTTGCGAGAATCGTCCACTTCCTCCGCCTTCACCTTGTCGGCAAGACCATTTCCAAGGTGACTGCCGTTGAAGATGCCATCGTCTTTGGCAAGGCCGGCACGAGCGGCCCTGAGATAGAGACCTCACTGAAGGGAAAGAAGGTAACTTCTCGACTCCCATAACTGAGGCCCGGGCTTGGCCATTAATCAACCGAATCTACCCCTAGGTCATATCTGCAGGCAGCCAGGGGAAATACTTTTGGTATGCTTTCTCAATTCCGAATAGAATAGAAAGTTCGTGTCTAACTTTAACTTGTCTAGGATCGCTTTTGACAAACCTCCGCATGTTGTGATGCACTTTGGGATGACAGGTAATACCCAGAGTCTTGATCCACTAATGATGAATACCATGATATCGCGGGACTAACAACGCTTTCGCTCCAGGCTGGATCCATATCAAGGATGAGAAAACGGCATATACAAATTACTACAATAAGCTGAAAAAAGGCGAGGGAGAGCAATGGCCACCAAAGTTCTGGAAGTTCCAGCTGGAGACCAACTCGAAACCCCCCGTGAAGTTAGCCTTTACCGACCCTCGCCGCCTAGGGCGAGTTCGCCTAGTTGACTGCCCGGCCAGCGAGATTCGGAAGAACTCGCCGCTCGTTGAGAACGGCCCAGATCCGGTTGTCGACAAGGACATCTTCACCGAAGAATTTCTGCGGAAAAAGATTAAATCGCGCAAGGTGCCCATCAAAGCCCTTCTCCTCGATCAGAAGTTTATCAGTGGAATAGGGAATTGGGTTGGCGACGAGGTTTTATACCACGCACGCCTCCACCCCGAGCAGTACAGCGACGAGTTCGGCGATGACCACATCAAGAGGCTGTACGACTCGATCATTGATGTTTGTCAAACTGCTTGCGACAAGCTTGGAGATTCGGAACAGTTCCCAGAGCATTGGCTTTTCAACCATAGATGGTCCAAGGGGAAGAAGGCATCCACTTTGAAGCTACCTAATGGTCACAAGCTGGCATTCCTTACTGTTGGCGGCCGAACCAGTTGTTACGCGCCCAGCTTGCAGAAGAAAATCGGAAGTACAGATGTCAAAGTCGAGGAGGAAGAGGAGGAGGAGGATGCGGAGACTGTCCCCGCCACGAAGGCCACAAAGAAGAGAACCAAGGTGACCACCGTCGAGACCGTCGAGAATACCGGTTCTACACCTGCGAAGAAGCCGGCTAGAAAATCCGTGGTCACCAAAGTTGAGATAGAAGAAGAAGTAGAGACTAAATCCAAGTCGAAGAGGACAAGGGTCTCTGTATCGAAGGAGGAAGTCACTTCATCTCCTGCACCGAAGAGGCAAAGGAAGTCCGCCGCGGCGACGACTAAAAGTGCTACTTCGGAAAATGTCGATGTCAAGGCTGAGGACTCTGGACGACGTCGGTCCGGCCGATTAAGGAAAGTTTGATGTGTCCTCGTACATCTCACACGTACAGCTTGGCATAGCACTTTGGTTATCCCCCGCGAAGATGTATCATAGGGCTCGGATTTCTTCACGATTTTGGATGTCGGACGCACAAACGCACAAACTTGGCCAAGCCCGGCTCTAAATTCGACACCTTGGCATTCAAACCTCGTTCCTGGATGTGATGAGCTTGGCAGCGGAGGGAAAGATGAAGAACGAGACCTGGTAGCTCCACGCGGCCTCCCGCCTTGGCAGGTGCTCGAGAAGTGTCGAAATGCAGAAGTTCAACGTGAATTCGGGATCGGCCCTGGCATCATGACGCTCCGGGTTGCTGGGCTTATGTCGATGACCGATCACCAGAGCACACATTCACTCATCCTACTTCTTGAGAGTCAGCTACAGAGTAATTCCTACTCAGCCAAGACGGGACAACTTTTTCTTCTTCTTCTTTTTCTTTTTTTTTCCTTTTCCCTATTCTCGAGAATCACTTTGGCCCCGACCCAGGCACCACCGCATAATGAAATTCGGAACGCGGAACGCATTTCCCAATTAGCAGTGAAATTTACCGGCGCCAGCTCTGCCGTCTTCTCTAAATATCCCCTTCCCCTATCAGCCGCCTTCACGATCCCGCGCTACTGCCAGTTCTTTTCCCCCATGTCGAGCGGAATCTGTAAAATAGCACTCAATATATAGAACAAAGCAGACCCCGAATGTTCGCTTCCAAGCATGCCGCTTATCCGTCTCCGCCAAGAGACTTTCGTAAAATCTCCTTCCGATGTACCGCGACGACGTTTAACTGGCTTGGCTAACTTGGCTTCTCGGTCAAGGAGGAGATTGGGTGTAGAGTCACTTGGCAAGTCTTGGGATGCTATCCTGTCCCTGGGGAGGTTGTAATTGCGAATTAGTCGAAAGAGCCTCATGAGGCTCAAACTGGTCTTCCAAGTATCAGCCCTATTTCAACTTCCTGTATCCCGCCAACTTGTTTCATCGACCTCACCCCAATCTTCCACGCAGAATCCAGTCAATTTTCAAAGTTTTATACTCCTTTTTCTTTCCCCATTTGAACACGGCAGCAACACGGCTCCCGTCTCCATAGTCGACACAATGCCCCAGCTCGGTCATCTTGAAAGAGCTCCGCAAACAAATTCCCTCAAAATGGCCCAGTTCCTGCACGCAAAGAAACATGGGCCAAGTCTTTAGCCGAGACCCCTCATGGCTAGACGTGGATCATAGGGTCCACATCGCCATCAAGTTTATACAGCCTACTCGAGCAAGCCCATCTGAGTTGTGGAGATGGGGACGGCTGGTGAGAATCTGGCCCCTTCTTGCCGCCTTGTACGCCCGCCCGCTTGGAATGCCCACTCAACCCTATCCTGCAACGACGGCAGGACTCTGGCCGGCAATGAGTTGAACTTGCCAGGAACCACTTTACTTGGCTCGCACTCGAGCTCGAAGGAGAAATTCCGTACCTTGCAAGCCCGTTCTTTTATGGCGCATGGGGGCCCATCACTTGCAATCGCCCCGGCCGCCTGACCCTCTTGCCGCTGCTAATATTTACAACTGGCCGAGTGATGCCACTGCAAAGCACACCTAGCCAGTGACAGTCGCCCATATCGCGAAGTGGGTACACTTCTTCGATGGACGGTACGGATGCCCCATCAGCCGTATTTGAAAACTAAGGACTTAGTGTGGCGGAGTGAGTGGTGCCTTTTTGGACTCTCTCACTCTTCCTCAACTACTGCGAGCTCTGGCTAGCAATTCAGGCTACCTTCAACTCGGGTATATTCAAAGACACTATTCAATTCGGCCGCTCAAGACCAGGCCACATATCGACCGCTACAAGGAGTCCTTTACGGCAACTCTCTGGTCCAGTCTGGCTCGGATTTTCTTTCCCACCAGACTACATAATCAGGGCGTGCCACACTTTCACCCAGGAGGGATATCCCATTACAGCCAGCTTTATGTCCCCAGAGTTCATGCAGATCTGTTGGAATAGATTTTCTGCGGCTCTGAATTGAGATACAAACAAGTCATGTGAGGGAGGTATTTTGATGACGCCCCTCCGAACCAGAGACTTCACTCCCCTTTCACTTCCCGTTGCCACTTAAGAGAATTCTCCACAATCTCATTCGAAAAAGCTATGCTCAGCTGGATCAGGCACGCGGAAAGCATGTCGTCCAATGGACACTAAATGGGAGCGGGTCGCACTTATCGGGCTCAATTCATTTACTCGAACGGCACCACATTGTTCGCCGCATCGTGATGCCTCGACTTATATCACTACGGCGGCTTAAAGCCCATCATACCGTTCCGGAGAACGCTGCCGTTGCTATACCCCGGAGCCTCTCATTTCGGATACCACGTGTAGAAGACGGAAAAGAAGACGAGATAGATTGTGGAGACTCGAGATGTGTGCTAGGGATGTAGTATAAAAGGGTTCATGTCGACTCAATTCGTTCCCTCGTTCCAGATCCTCACTCTCATCACCATCATCCACTTTCCCGCCTTCTCCATCTTTTCCCTCCTGCACTGACCTCCCTTCCTTAACAGTTAGTGACACCCTTGAACCTTCAACATGCGTCGCGCAGCCGTTCTATCCGCTCTCCTTGCGGCCGCCACGGCCCAGCAAGTCGGTACCGAAACCGCCGAGACCCACCCCAAGATGTCTTGGTCAAAGTGCTCTTCTGGAGGCAGCTGTACCAAGGTCAACGGCGAGCTGGTGCTCGATGCCAACTGGCGATGGCTTCATGAGGTCGATGGATACGAGAATTGCTATGACGGCAACATCTGGACCGACAAGTGCAGCAGCCCCGAGGAGTGTGGTACTAAGTGCGCTGTGGATGGTGCTGATTATACCGGAACTGTAAGTATCTATTATCAACCTTTTTACCCTCCGGACGATCGCTTGCAGTGGTTAACACCTCAATTGCAGTATGGTGCTTCTGCGAGCGGTGATGCCCTTACCCTCAAGTTCGTCACTAAGCACGAGTATGGTGCCAATGTTGGCTCGCGTCTCTATCTCATGGAGAACACCGACAGGTATCAGATGTTCACTCTCCTCGGCAACGAGTTCACCTTCGATGTCGACATGTCTAAGCTCGGATGTGGTCTAAACGGCGCCCTTTACTTTGTCTCTGTAAGTTTTCTACCCCTAAGTTCCCGGCACAAGCATCTAGGCGCTAGTGAGGTTTCAAAAATTCTAATGGCTCCCGCCTGCAGATGGACGCCGATGGTGGCAAGGCCAAGTACTCCAGCAACAAGGCAGGTGCAAAGTACGGAACCGGTTACTGTGACGCCCAATGCCCCCGCGACCTCAAGTTCATCAACGGCAAGGGCAACATCAACGGCTGGAACCCCTCCGACAACGACCAGAACGCAGGCGTCGGTGAGATGGGATCATGCTGTTCCGAGATGGACATCTGGGAGGCCAACTCCATCTCCACAGCCTACACGCCGCACCCGTGCACGACCGTCGGCCAGCACATGTGTACCGGCGATTCCTGCGGCGGAACGTATTCCGACGACCGCTACGGTGGTACCTGCGATCCTGATGGTTGCGATTTCAACTCTTACCGTCAAGGTGATCGCGAATTCTACGGCCCCGGCATGACCGTCGATACGAACAAGGTCTTCACGGTCGTGACACAGTTCATCGAGGAGGGCGGCCAGCTCTCGGCCATTCGCCGGTTCTACGTTCAGGACGGCAAGGTCATTCCCAACAGCGAATCCCTCATCGAAGGGAATCCCGGAAACGAGATCAACGAGGAGTTCTGCAAGTCGCAAAAGGTGGCCTTTGGTGATGAGGACATTTTCAACCAGAAGGGCGGTCTTGGGCAGTTCACGGAGGCTGTCGCCGGAGAGATGGTCCTCGTCATGTCGCTCTGGGATGACCACTACGCCAATATGTTGTGGCTCGACTCTACCTTCCCGACCGATGCTTCTCCTGATAGCCCTGGTAAGGGCCGTGGTTCTTGCCCTACTAGCTCGGGTGTTCCTGAGGAGGTTGAGGAGGCCCAGGGTAATGACCAGGTTATCTTCTCGTACGTTTTTCTTTTTTTCTTTTTATTCCCGAAAATATTCTTTCCCTCGTTCGGCATGGCAGAGTAACTAACAAAATGGCACAGAAACATCAAGTTCGGTCCCATCGGCTCGACTTTCGACCAGCCATAGAGTGCTAGATGATTGAAGCTAGGGGATATATTAAGAAGAGATCAGACGGTGATAGGGGATATTGTGCATGACCCATGGTTCGTCGGGATAGACAGGATTACTCTCTGCATGTAATACCTCTGTATTCATTTCAAATAGATTTCTTAGAAAATACTCTCCAGAGGCTTTCTACTGATATATATCTTCATTTCTTTGCCTACCGTTTTTCTCACAGCTAGAAATGTGTGGTTACAATTCGGAAACTGGATAGCAAGAGGTGCGAGGTCCTCTTGTCGAGCCGAAATCCGCCGTATCGATGTCATAAGAACGTCTTTATTCCAACGTTTGAAGACAAACTCTGCGCCTCAGACAACCTGGTAGCCGTTCTTTTCTTTTCCTTTTTTTCCCCATCGCGTCTAGATGCTAGAGTATACGGTACAGAGATAATCTATCATATGATATACACGGAGGGCATGAAAGCCCCCCGAACTCATCCAAACAAGTGGTAAACTGGTGGTACATTTCGCGATCTTCGCTTCGATTCCGCGGTTAGAGTTCACACTCAGGCGGCGCCCTTCACAGGTATCGAGTCCCAAGATACTGTCTTCCCAACCCACGGCTCAGGAGCTGGCTCCTTTTTCTTCTTCTCCGCCTCTTCACCCAAAAGTCCAGCCAGCTTCAAGACAGCGATCCTCGCACCACCCATCCCTGCTTCTTCTCTCGCAGGCGTCTTTTTCAACTTCCCCCTCTTAACGAACCCTCCGTCAGCCATCCCCGCCGCCGTAACACAAAAATCCGGAGTCCAGTCTCCCTTCGGCCAGCTCTTCCTCGGCGGCTCCTCGAGTAATTCCCTCACCTGCTCGCACCTCTCCACACACGTCTTCAGCCACTTGTCCTCCCCACACCTATCGGCCCTCGTCAAGAAAATCGCCGTTTTCTTCCCGTGATGCGCGAGGAACTCCAATACCTCGACGTCCCATTTCGTAAGCGGAATATCGCTCCTCAAGAGCAAGACCACGCCTTTTAGCATCGTCCGCCTCTCGAGATACTCCTCAATCTGTTTCCCCCATTCCTTGACGCTGTTGAATCCGTAACCCGGCGTATCCATGAGCACAAGACTCCGTAATAAATCCATCTTATTCGTCGTCTTGGCATTCTTATTCTTGATCACCTTCCTCTTAACGATGGGTCCCGTAGCATACGCATTCATCTCCCGCGTGCTTCCCGGGCGAGAGCTACTCCTCGCGAGGTTCATGCCCAGCAAAGCGTTGATAAACGTCGACTTGCCCGCGTTCGAGCAGCCTAGGACGCATATCTCGGGGACATAGTAGTTGACCTGGTGGCTGCGCCAGTCTACGGCGGAGTATATGAAGTTCGGCTTCTGCTTGAGGAAGAAGTCGGAAGCGGTTCGGAGATCTGCGGGGACAGCATCGAAGGTGGGCGTCGGGAGGGCGAAGGGATTGGGGGGTGGCGCGAGGTTGATGCTTGGAGAAGCCCAGAGGCCGAGGAGGGATTCGCGCGCTGGAGGCGGCGCTGTTGAGTAGCTGCGTGTGTGACACGGTGGTGAGAGGAGGCGCGTTATGAGGAGGGAGCGGAGAGAGTGTGGGATCGCGAGGAGGTCGCGCGGCTGTCGGAGAGACATTTTGTTGGTGTTGAATTATCGCGCATAGTTGGAGTTGAGCAATACTGATCTCGAGAGCTCCGAGGAAGCGGATTTGGCGAGCTTGGAGAAAAGTTGATGCTGGTGAAGCACAGTGTGAATATTATCTTCTCACACCTCTCGATTAGAACACGCAGGAAGAATCTCGGCAAATCGGAGGAGGGAATACCTTCTTATTGCCGAATATCAAGCAACCCATTCATCAAATCGCGAAAGATCTTCCTTGGTCTAGTGGTCAGGATACCTGCTTGTCATAGAACAATTCGCAGGTGGCCGGGGTTCGATTCCCCGAGGGAGAGTTCTTTTATTCTTTTTTGCTACTTTTTGTCTCACATCCGACCAGTTTTATCCCATCTTTTTGTCGCCCTCGTTTCGTGGATTACTACCGACATTACTACCTCGTCCTTTGGATATGATTCTCCTCGTGTCTTCGTCGTATGCGATTCATCCCGAGAAATGGGTTGGGCCTACAATTTTGCTGTGCTGTCGGGTGGTAATGGCTGGCTGCGGGATGTCCCCACATTCCAACAATGTCACGTTAAGGGGAAGCGGCGGGCAACCCGATTTCATAAAAAGCAACTGCTCGTAGAAACGATCTATTCCAGCAGATATATACTGAAGAAGAAAAAGATGGCTACTTGAATGTCATTTGAATATTCCAAACTTTTAATAGATGGCTTGCACACATTAAACCTCCCAACAATCTCCACTTAGTACACCTCGAGGACATATCGTCCCTCCTCCTTCAACTTCTCAATCTCCTTCCTAGAATCAACCTTGCGACCCCTCGCCTTCGCCTCCTCACGAATAGCCTCCTCCAGCACCTCCGTCACGTCAGGCACAGGCCAAGTAGGACCGCAGAGATAGAAAGATCCGCTCTCGGTGATGTAAGCCTTGACGATATCCCGCATGGTCTGGCGCATACGGTCCTGGATGTAAATCTTCTGCGGCTGGTCTCGCGAGAATGCCGCGCCGAGGAGCGTGATGACGCCCGCATCGAGGTAAGCCTCCCACTCCTCTCCGTAGAGGTACTCCTCGCGCTGGTGACGCGAACCGAGGTACAGGAGGATGGAGCCGATCTCCTTGCCCTGCGCCTTTTGCATGGCGCGGTACTGCACGAAGGCGCGGAAGGGAGCAAGACCGGTACCGAGACCCGCCATGATGAGGGGTGCGGTGTCGTCCGTGGGGAGCTTCATGACCGAAGGCTTCACGGACACGGTGACCTTGGCACCCGGTCGGAGGCGGTGGAGGTAACGCGTGGCCTGTCCGAGGCGCTTGCGACCCTGGGGATCGACCCAGTCGACGACAACGATCATGAGGGTGACGCTGTTAGGAGTGACGGCCTGCGCCGAGGCAATAGAGTACTCGCGCCTCTGGAGAGGGGCGACGATGCTGATGAGATCGTGGAAACTAGGGTGAGCAGACTTGAACTCCTTGAGGATGTCGACATAGGTGACGGTATCGGTCTCGGAGCGTGTCTTGAATTCCTCGGCGCCCTCCTTGCCACCGAGAGCAGCAAGCTTGGCCTTCTCCGTCTCGTCGGTGGCGAACTCCGCGAGCGCCTCGTAGAAGCGCTTGGGCACCTTTCCGAGAATGTCGACGTTCTGGATGAGAGACTGGTACACGGTACGAGTCTCATAGACGGTGGGATCCTCGCGGCTGGGCACCTGGACGAGCTCGTCGGGGTTGAGGCCGTAGAAGTTGATGAAGTCTTCGACGTCCTCCTTGTCGTTCTCGGCGTGGATGCCGAGAGCCTCTCCGATCTTGTAGGTGACGCCCGAATCGCCGAGATCGAACTCAATATGGAAGATGTTTCGGTCGTAGGCGGAGGGAGTAAGACGGCGGTTCTCCTTGACAGTGACGGTTGAGGTCTTGACGGGAAGATCGGGTCGCAGGCTGATCTTGGTGCCGTAGGCCTCCTTGAAGACGAAGCCCTTGGCAGCGGCCTGCCAGTCGTTCAAGGCAGGCTCCTCCGCCGGCTCCTCCTTCTCGAAAGCAACAAAGCTGAACGGCTTGGCGGCCTCAAGGAGGCGGGGCGCCGCGGTGCCATCCGGAACCTCACTCCAGGCCTCGGCAACCTCGATCTTACGGAGAGCAGCGTTCACGGTGCTAACCCAGTCTTGGAGAGAAGACTGGCTACCCTCGGCGATGATGAGCTTAGCGATCTCCTCGGGAGAAATATCGGGACGAGCGACCTTGATGAATGCAAGCTCGAGAAGAAGCCTGCTGCCCACGGCATCATTCTCGAGTTCAGGAGCAAGGGCTGTGTCAAGAGCATACAGATCGATGTTCTTGTCGTGGACTTCCTTGCGGAAGTGAACGGGGAGGCGCTTCTCAGCATCCTCCTCCTTGAAGTTGGCGAGCTTAATGATGATGTTTCCATCCTGCTTCACGCTCTTCGAAATAGCAACATCCTTGAGGAGCTTCTCATCTCCAATGACGGCGACGTCAGCCTCGGTTACCTGGTAGGGAGCCTCAATGGTCTTCTTAGAGCTGCGGATGTCCGTGCGCGCAACTCCTCCCTGGACGAGACTGTCATAAGTCTCGTGAACATAGATGTTATCAGTCGACTCCCGGGAGAAGACATTGGCAAGAACAGTGGGGGTGCTGATGACAGCGGAGTCATCAAGGTCCCAGAAGGTATACTGGTGGGCCTGGAGAGAGGGGGTGATGTCGTCCTCAACAGAGATATCGGTAGTCTTACGAACGACCTCGGTGAAGAAGGCGGGGGTAAGGAGCGTAGAAGCCGAGTACTTGAACTCTGTCACCTTGGGCTCGGCAGCGAACTTTCCGGAGAAAGTGACCGCCGCGAGAACGTCACCGTAAAGCGACGACTGGACGGCGACGTCGTTCACAGCGAAATCAGAGGCAACCTGTCCCACCACAACAATGTTCTTGGTGGACTCGGGAAGGACCTTGAGGAACTCCTCCTCGACGAACGGGCGGTAGACTCGGACCTTGACAACGCCGATCTTGGCACCGCTAGAGGCCAGGCTACCGACGATCTGAGTGGCCAACTGCGCCTCGGTGCTGCCGAAGACAACGAGGACCTGCTCTGCTTCCTTGTGCCCCGTGTACTCGAAGAGGTCGTAAGCAGTGCCGAGCTCATCGTTGAACTTGCGGAAGAGCTCAACAACCTTGCCAGAGATGTCGAGCCTCTTGTTGAGAGACGCAACCTCCTTCGAGATCTTGGAGTACACGTCCGCAATACCACCCTCACTCAAGGCGTCCACCACGCGGAGAGTCTCGCGGGGCAGGCGAACACCATCATAGACATGGAGGGTAGGGACAAGGCTCGCGAGCAAGGTGGCCAAGATGGAAATATGCTGAGTCTCATACGCGGAGAAGCTAGAGACGAGGCCGAGGCCAAGGTCCTCAGCAATCCTGAGGGCGCTGCCATACTCGGTAGTGAGGCCATCGTTCGACGAGAAGTCGGCCGCCGCGACGTGCGCAACAAGGGGGCTAGAGACTCCGTAGAGCAGGGAGACCTGATCAAGAGCTCCGCGGAGGTGACGAAGGCTTCCGGAGGTGGCGAGGAGAGTCTGGGGGATATGGCGCTTGCTCAGGTCGAAGTCAGGAGAGAAGATGTAGCCGAGAGCAAAGGCGCCGGCACCAGTCCTCGTCTGGAGGGGGAGTACGGTGGTGGGGTAGCCGTGGATGTTCTTCTCCTCCTTCGAGGCCCAGTCCTTGGCGGCGACATCAAGGTCGAAGGTATCGGGAGAGTAGGAGAAGATCTTGTCAGAAAGCTTGTAGGCGATCTGCTGGATCAGGAGCTGGGCTGTCACATAAGTCGGGCCGGAGATGTGGGACAAGGGGACTGCTTGGCCAAAGGGGAGAGTCGAGGAAACGGACTTGAAGGTTGCGGACTGGGCGTTAACCTGGACGCCGCCGGCGTCCTCCTGAAGCTTGAAATGCATCTTTAGGTTGGTCTGCGCCGAACTGTGTGTAAGGGGGGATGTGCTGAAGTGGAGGGAAAAGGCTCAGAGGGAGACCTGGAACCGAGCACAAAACAAGTCAGACTAGACGACTGAAGCAAACCCCCTACCAAAGCAAGCACTGCCGAAGTATGGAGTAGTCAAGAGAAAGGGGAATGAACAATGGTCAGTTTAGAGGAAAGTAAGAGAAGGAAATGAATGTGATTCCGAGGTATTATTATAAGCTGGCAAAAGACAACGAAACGAAGCACAACCGTTACAAGCTCAACGACGTACACCCGAGACCCGGCCACAATCCGTCTCCGACTCCCGTCCCGACTTCCTTCTTCATGCTGAGAAACTTTTCTTTTGCTCTGAAATCACCGCAAATCCAGGTTAGAATTGCTTCGGAGTCCGCTTGAGACGAGATCACGCAATCGGGCGCTAAACCTAATTGGGGAATTTCGAGGAAGGGACCCTGACAGCCAAAAGTGGCAATTAAATACTGCGTCTGATTGGCTAAAATATGTATGAGTAATCATTTTGATTATCAACCTCCGAGCACGCAATCGCGTTGTGGGGGAACATCACCGTTGGCGCGGGATTGTGGATGAGTACGAGTGACTTCGTACTTCTTAAGGAGAAGGAGTGCGCGACACAGCAGCATGAATGGCGCGGTGGGAATCAGCAGTGATGTTTCGGAGAGTTGAGGCATGTGCTTTCCTTTCCGCCCACGTACTGGACTAAATCATAAATCATATCTCTATATTTGGAGGGCCATTGAGCCCTGTGTTCGATGAACCGACTCTCTATCCAACTCATCAATCTTTCATCTGCCTCACGTTGAGATTTATCCTCTTATTCTGGATCCAGCCCTTCCATCCTTCACACTTTCCATCCTCCGCCGGCCAGTCAGCCAGGAAGTCTGGGCACGTCCCTTTTAGCACCTTCGGCACCCCATGCCACGCATATCTGGACTCTTGTGTCATGTAAATCGCATCTCCGGATCGGATTCGTAGAATCAAGTAGTCCAACCCTTCCTTTGCATCCCAATCCGACCCGTCCTCTTTCTTGGGCGGTTCCTTCATATCATTAGGCGTAATCATGAAGAGCCCGTCACACCCCATGCTGAGACTAATCAACCCCTTGTCCGTCCTCTCACTCACGTCACGGTGCAGCATCATCGTATCTCCTGGCGTGTAAAAGTTCACAATCGCAGCCTGCGCGACCGTTTCTGGGAATAAATCTTCCAGGAATCCTGCGAGATCGAGAGGGAAGGACGGCGGCTCTTCGCCTGGATAAACACGATTCGTCCAATCGTACTGGCCGCCGAGGGTCACCCAGTGGAGACGACGTTCCATAACTTGCTTTATGGACAGAGGTTTATGGACCGTGGGGTCCTTAGGTTTAAAGCGGATGGACGAGTCTGGGGGATAGGTGAAGAAGGACCTCGCTTCTGGGGATGATGATTCGTCTTGAGGATAAGGAAGATCATAATGAAGATGAAGGTTAGTTTGGTGCTTGGGGTTACTGAGATCTCTATGGATCAGCCGAGAAAGAAGAGTTTGCTGCACTTCAGGGCTGAGGAGATTGGGAATGATGAGGAGACCTGCTATTCGTTTCAGCGACGTGAATTTGATAACGAGCCGAGGAGGCCAGCCACACTGACCTGGAAGCAAAGGGTGATAGTATATTGGCGCATCTGCCAGTTCTTCTGACTCTGTCGAGTGGCCCAGGTGAGAGTAGGCCTTGGATAATTGAGTACTTGCTATTGCGCCGGCCTGCCGGAGGCGGGGTAGATGGTCGGACGACCTCGGATCCGTGATCATAGGATTCGACAAGAGTTCCTTCTGTTCCGCTCTAGAGATGCCTTTCCATATAGACCTCGACCAGTCGGCTGGCTGCTCATGGGCATCCAGCTCTGTGAGATCCAGCGTCATGGTGGGGTTGTGGGGATTGCGACTTGAAGAACCCCGGCCGATGCCGCCCAGGGCCCTGGACTCCTCGTATGGAGGTCACTTGAAGAATGAAGGAGCTGAAATTGCAGGATAGCCCAGGGACTTACAAAGAGTCACAGTTGTGGGCTTGAAGATATAAAGCTGCTTTGTCCGAAATGCTAGTGTTGCAACTGAAGGCACAAATTTCATGGGCCCATACTCTGTGACCTTGGCTCGCTCCTGCCCCAAACTGTGCCTGGATTCTTCTACACACCCCCTGTCAACCTATCAACAATTCCTTATCGATAAGATGAACCCCGCGCCACACACACACACGAGACGCGGTCCGTTGCTCAGCTGCGGTGGTGCACACGCTTTAATTGTTTTTATCAACATTAAATCGAGGCTCAGTGCTGTCATAGGCCACAGCAGCCTCTGATTCCAGCAGTTCTAGTGGGTACAAAGTAAACAAAATCACTGGGCTGAAATTTCCATGAAGGCCAACCCTGGCTCCTCTGCATCCTCGAAACCTCACCTGCATTCTCCCACTAACTTCCCAACCAGGTGGTTCACAAGAGACAGGATTGAGGCTCTGCATGAAGCTAGCACTTATTTCTCTTTGAAGATAATAATTGCTATCTTCTCTTTTCTTCCTCCCCACCTCTTGTCTCTCCCTTCTTGAGTGTCACGTCTACCCTTTGACGACCACGGTTCCGACCACGACCACAGCCACGACCGCAATTCTGCCCCTCATTTCGACCACAGAATCACCCTTGCATCCACTGGAGCAGCACGACAGCTCCAGGTGCTTGCATTCGAGTCGCTCTCCGAATTCGAGTCTCGTGTCCCTCGTTGAGCCACTGGACATACCGGATCAGTGTCCCCAAACGTCTTTGGTTTCAGTTACCTCTCAATTCGAACAGTGAAATATAACAGAGCGAAAAAAGCTCATCCCGACCGAAAGCATGGCTGCTACTGCAATGGAAAACTATCAGAAGCTCGAGAAGATAGGCGAAGGTAAGTGTCGCCCATATAGAGATCGCGGGGCCTACTCCGACCGTTAAGAGCCTAAAACTTACTCACTTCTGATAGGTACTTATGGTGTCGTCTATCGCGCCCGAGATCTCTCCGCCGGCGGCCGTGTCGTCGCCCTGAAGAAGATCCGTCTCGAAGCCGAAGATGAGGGTGTCCCCTCCACCGCCATCCGAGAGATCTCGCTTCTCAAGGAAATGCGCGACCCGACCATTGTCCGTCTCCTGAATATCGTCCACGCCGATGGTCATAAGCTGTACCTCGTGTTCGAATTTCTCGATCTGGACCTCAAGAAGTTTATGGAGTCCCTTCCCGTCAGCGAGGGTGGACGCGCTAAGCCGCTCCCCGACGGAAGCTCCGCCTACTTGACCCGCATGGGAATGGGCCCCGCCGTCGTTCAGAAGTTCATGATGCAGCTCTGTCGTGGCGTCCGATACTGCCACTCGCATCGCATTCTTCACCGCGATCTGAAGCCCCAGAACCTGCTCATTGACGCCGAGGGCAACCTCAAGCTGGCCGACTTCGGTCTCGCCCGCGCTTTTGGCGTTCCCCTTCGAACCTACACTCACGAGGTAGTTACCCTCTGGTATCGTGCACCTGAGATTCTTCTCGGCGGTCGTCAGTACTCGACCGGCGTTGATATGTGGTCTGTCGGTTGCATCTTTGCCGAGATGTGTACTCGCAAGCCACTTTTCCCAGGTGATTCGGAGATTGACGAGATCTTCAAGATCTTCCGGTAAGAAAACTCTCGGCCCAAGCCCTTTTAGGGGGTTCTAAACACCCTTCGCTAGTTTGACTTCTGGTCCTAATATTTCTTCATCTAGCGTACTTGGCACTCCCACCGAGGAGGTCTGGCCCGGCGTTACTTCATACCCCGACTTCAAGTCCTCCTTCCCTAAGTGGACTCGTAGCCTCTCGAAGCCGTTGTGTGGTAACCTGAACGAGCGTGGCCTTGAGCTTCTCGAGATGATGCTCGTCTTCGACCCTGCTGGCCGCATCTCCGCCAAGCAGTCTTGCAATCACCCCTACTTCGAGGAGTACCACGCGCAGCAAGACGCAGCTGCGACCACCACTTACCGTGGTAACGGCTACTACCGATAATCACGCAATGCCCCCACGGTTCTGCCGCCTGACGTTCATGTTCGGGAGTTCACGAAGCATCTTCCGTGTTCACTCTCAACGAGGAAGTTATGGCATCTATTAAATCCCAGTATCCTCGGCATTCAGGATACACTAGGAACCCATCCTTATGCGGAACAAATGGCACGATTATCACCCACCTTACATCTTTATACTGATACCCCCGAGATGCTTGATCCGGCAAGCATGATTTTCGACCCTCCTTCCTTCGACTCGACTTTTTAGGGGTCTTTTGTGAGCACTCGTCAGAACGCCCATCTTTGCGGCGTTTCCTTAGACTTAGTCTTGTTTTTCATCTGGCCTTTTCCTACTTCCATTCGATGTTTTTATCGTCCCGCTGGTTCTGTTGGGCTGGTATTCCCCACTCTGTGCATAACAGCCGTTGTTCAGCTGTTGGCCCACAGGGCATACGTTTTCATTTTTGTCACTCATGGATTTCTTAAGGCTACACTCTCACACACCCTCGATAGAAGGAAGGACGTCTGTTTCCGGTTATAATTTCCTTTGTCTCTTTTCCTCATGTTCATGTGCTCTCGGTAGGCTCGGCAACGGTACACAAATGCATTTTCTGACGTCTTGAATTTCCTTTTCCTTCCAACCCACCACGTCGAGTAATCGCTGCCTCTCTTGTGGATTCAATCAGTGACAGGGGAAGACCATGTTCTGTGATACCTTTATGTGTGACTGTGACCAGCCTCCACTCGGATGATAATTGAATGGGGATGCCGAGAAGTCGTGGCTTCTACGTCGCAATGATAGGAACACTAGATGCTCACCCATGCTCACCCATGCTCGACCAACCTGACTCCCCCGGACGAGTCTCGTCTCTAGCTACCCAGGAGCTTATGTGTAGGTTGTATTTGCGACGGGTCTAATCCCAATGACAAGGCAAATCACCGCTACACCGAGATACGATGGAGGCGTGGAGATGACAGGAGTAGCCGCAATGTCTTTCCCCAGGTCTTGTACCTTTTGCTTCGGACCTCAGCTGAAACTGTATCCCGGGGACCGGCTGGTGTGACAATACTTTTGCGGAAATGGATGCACCTTGCGAGCGTCCGATGAGTCGAACTGGGATGGAGGACCGGAGATATTAGATTGTAGTTGCAGTGAATCACGAGATAAGATCTGACCTTGGATGCTTGAATGATGTATTCTGGTTTTATTAGAGAATCCCTAATAGTGAGAGAACTCATCTAATACGATATTTGCCCAGGTTGAATACTGCGACCAGGCTATGGTGTTGTGGCGGAAAAGTGTAAACTGGGGAGCGCAACGGCCCACAGATATCGCGAACGAGAGCAGATTCATAGATTTCCCGCGAGTGACCAATGATCTTATTTTCCCCACGATATTCTCCTCTCTTCACCCTACGAATCACTTCTTGCAACGTGCAACTCTACGGCCGGGAACCTCGTTGTACAGAAGTTCCAAATCCACAACCCCCCCGTCTTCCGCTCTCAACGCAAATAACGGGCGAGCAGACTCAGAAAGCGGCGACCAGTATGAAAAATACCACAACTTGGCATCTGGAGAAGCCACCACGAGGGATCAAAGGCAAGAGTAGACTAGAGTAGACTCGGTTGCTCCCTCCGAGAGCAAGCACAAGTGAGTGGCTCAAACACACCCATAGAGGCCTACGGACCACCCTACCCTCCGGCCCCCAGAGCATCAGGAATTCAGACCCCATCACAGCTAAGCCGTCTCTACTGTGGCACAAGTATTTCCTCCTGAGACCAGCACTGCCCTGAGCTCGTGCCCGTAGATGGCGATTGAATTTCTTGGCTATATTAACAAACATTGCAATGTTATACTAGATTCTAGTTATTCTCTAGGCTGTAAATAAGGCCTATTGAGCTAGCCATGGGTCGAAGATTAATTGCAAATTGATACTGCGACGAGAACCATTGACCTTGGCATAGGGACACACTTTAGTCGATAGCATGGAGGGCGCAGGCGAACTCAAAAACAAAAGGGGGCCGAAAGGTGGGAAATCGTCTCATAGTGAAGCCATCACAAAAGGGCACACCAGTTCCACGGATGTAATGCTTCTATCTAACCGGCATCTGGAAACAACAGTTTCCGAGCTATTTTTGTTCGGTGACATAATGCCACCCACTCTCCTGTGCAGGGACTACCGGCACGCAGGGACAGACACGTTGTCTCGCTCCTAGAAATCAGCTCCCCTGGCAACAGAGACCAGGGTACAACCGCGAAGCGCTGTTTCTCAGCGATAATGCTTGTATCTTTGCCGCCCTATGCACCTCGATGGATCTCCCTGGGAATCGACGCAAGCGCCCTGCCCCAATTTTCCGGGAGACGGCGGTTTTAAGCTCTCAATTCAACATGAATCGATCCCAGCCCCAAAAACAAGCAGGAGAGGTGCATGCATGTTACAGAACAAGACAAAAAGACTGCATCGGAAGCACGCCTCTGCTCGAGTCCGTCTTAATTTCAGTTGCAATTTGGCCCCGACGGTTGACCGCAGCCATCCATCCCGTTATCGTAGCATTGCAGGGCCGGAAATGAGAAAGTTGCTAATTGTGGTGGGCGAAGATGCGAGGGAGGCAGCGGCTTCCGTCCACGCTGCGGCTAGGAGGACCAATCATAACGGGCCGGGAGCTCCAGACGAAACGGAGGCGGGTGGCGATGCAAGCGGTTCGCTGGGGATCCGGACCCTTGTCTGCTTCGACCCTTCCATGGGGGCCAAATAGACGCCAGGAATGAGCACGGAAAAGGGAAATGGGCCAAGGGGAGCATTGAGAGAGAGCATGGGGTCCACAATATCCACATGGGAGGATGGAAGCAAGAATGGAGGAGGGAGGGGCCGCTATTTTGGGCCTCTCCCGTTCGTCTGCAGCCGTCTGTCTGCGGACTGGACGAACTAAACGCTCATGCGTGGTGTGGAATCCATCGTTTCGGGATGGCGTGGATTCCAATGGGTCAAACGCGCCAAAAACAAAATGAAAGGAAAGGGGCTTCGGAATGGGGGCTCAGGTGTGTGCAAAAGAGGGCCGATTTGTGGCTCTCTGCGAATGCTTCTGCGCTTGCTGAAACTCGCCAACTTGGGGTCGCCCCGTAAACAGTTTCAATGCTGCAATACCGGCGCCTCGTCATTCAAACCATCGAACCAGTGTCCATACAGCATCTGATATCCCAAGAAACATGTAAGAAAGGAATAATTCAGGGAGCCACCATCACGATGTATCTCGAAGTGCCTTTGGGGGTGTTAACGTAGTAGAGGAGTAGACGAGCATATCCCAGGAGAGGGTTATTCAATCGCCTGTCATCAATTGGAAGCGTGAAAGACGAAGTTTGACTGCATGCGTCATTCGAGATAAATTTTTTTCATCCTGGGCTGGTCCAAGTGTCGCCATCCTCCGAACCCCCAAAATGATGATGGTGCAGCAGAATCATGCTTGCTAAAAATTTTCATAGGGCGCCCCCTTGCCCGATGGGAACCATGAAGCGAGCGTTGGGTTCGGTCGGTCGGAGGTAGCCGACTCATTGGCCTCCATCCAAGCCCGGTGAGGTCATTGATCCTCTCAATTTTTATCCCTCTCGCTCCCACTGGAAACCGCCGGACGATGCCAGCTGAGAGATCACACCAGTAGGAATCGCCGGCACGGCTCTTCCAGCACTCTCTGGCGGGCACCGAGCAAAGTCCGAGGTGTGGGCGGGAGTCGGGACTTACCGTCATTTTGGGTTAAGTTGCTGCCAAGTGTCAACGCCTCTCACCGGAGACTACCTAAAACACGTGACTAGAGGTGTTTTTGGGCGCCCGGCTTTCGTGTTCATGTTCAGGCCATCAGGTGTGGCTGGTGCGGCCTCCATACCTTTGGCTACTATTTACGGTGTCTTCCCCGCTCAATGCCCCTGTTCAGGCAATGGGCTTGGATCACCCGTGAATGTCACTTGATCGCCGCCTATTTAACCGAAACTGGTAAGCTCACGATCTGCTACCAGGGGGCGGGTACACCCTGCGCTCAGGGACTCTTCCAGAGTACGAAGTAACTACGCTTACAACGTTATCAATAATAGGCCTGGTCCTTGCTGAAAATACCACTATTGCGGACGGCCGCCGACACTAAAGTTACCCCCTCCAGCTCTCCAACAGCACTTGATCCTATTATACACCAAACGTTCAAGTTTCTCGTCGTCGTCATGTGGCACGGACGGACTTTTAACTTGTAACCCCCAAGTTTTCACATGGGATGGGTCTGGCTATGCCACAGCATGCGTGCGTGATCTGGTGTTCGGTTCGTGGAGAAGAGAGGAGGAAGGTTGTATCTGAATCCACTCGTGAGCAAAAGCCAGCGATATTGATAGGAAAGGAGGGGCTCACGAAAACCCAACACTTGGAGTCGTGGCTACTATCAGGTGGCTCAGGCCCCTCTTTTTTTCCGAGACCGATGAGGGTGGAAACGAATATGCGTCTTACGTGTGCATCTACTGGTCCATACGTATCCTCCACCGGGCGTCCTCCACTGTCGAGCTGTCCAGTAAAAGTAGTTCTAAACTGCATACAACGCTTAGATGTATAGTCTATCATCTCTCGCCTGTAAGTCAGGTCCGTCAACCCCGTGATCGCGATCGTGATGCTCATCGATTGGCCAACACCACCCGACTGGGCTTCTGACGTTTCGTTTCAAGATGGCGTCTAGCGAATCACATCAGTAGGAGCCCAGACTCCCACATGTACCCTCGCCCCTTTGGACCCAACAAAGACGGATCGGACGGATGGGCCACTAGGGACACGAGTTATGGTTTTATGGCAGCAAGGTTTACACCATCACAGTCCTTGGGCAATGCGCTGGGCCTAGATAATCCCCAACGCTGGCTAAGAACAGGCGATATCCATCCATTCCTAAGCGGATGGGAAGAAGGGCGTGCGCACCCAACACCGCATTTTTGAGTGTTTGGAGGGGGGGAATAGATAGGGATGTGCCCATGGACGGAAT